ACATTCACATCTACAGACAATTTAGTGTCTTCAATCAATCTAGTATATTTGGGGGGATGTGGGAGAAAATGTACCTTAAGTCAAAGACTGAACCATGATAAAGTTGTGCTGCCACAACTGAATCAGGCACAGTATTACCTATCCATTTTGTACTTTCCTTTGCATAAATTCAAAATTCATATCTGAACAATCTGAAGTATCTTTTTTTTTAATCCATCTGTTGGATTCAGTCCTTCAACAGTCTACCGGTTCGATGGAATGGGGCCCTGGGTTGGGGAGTGTGACGAATCTCAAGACCATTGCATCCTGCGCACATAGCATCAACCATCACAAGCGCTTACATCTCCTTTCCTCTTGTTTACTAACGTTGGTGAAGCTGGAGCCCCGCTGTCTCTGCACTAACGAGGGCAATGTAAGCTGACCTGGGCTCGCCACTTCATATCCTGACTTGTAAGAGCCCGTTTCCTGTGCAGCAACATCAACCAAAGGGACCACTTAAGTTGCCTTCCCTCGCTCAACTGCAAAGATTTATCCTCACTCAAGTAACAGTAACAGTAACAGCCTCCAGATCAGGCATGGACTGGATTTCAGTTGCATGTGGCGATGATGCAAATCACCTTCATGTTCACTCGGGCACAAAGCAAGTGTGGTTTCTTGGTGAATGAATAGGGAAAAAGACATGATGAAGACCGTCCTATGAACACTGAAGCTTGTTGTGAATGCTGAGGGAAAAACATTCACAATAAGGCATTCATGCATCAAAATACAGCCCATATTTAACTAGTAGAGCTAAAGTCACCAATTCTTTTGAGACTGAGAGCTACTTCTTGGACAGTGGTTCATGCAAAGGGCTACCAGCAGTTTGATAGACACTCCTGAAATAACAAATCCACTTAAATTACATTTCATTATATATCATGTTGCTATTTCTCTGCAAATATTTTGATTTTTACATAACCCCTTTGGGAGTATTTCTAGGAAATCACAATGTTGCAGATTCACCAATTTCCTTTTTTTTTTTTTTTTTTTTTTTTTTTACCTATCCTCTTGTAATTGCTGAAAACCTCAACTATTAGCTGTTATTGTGCTCATTGCTTCGGTGCCATCTTGTGGCATCTGGCGCCAAGGAACTATGTTGAAGCGCTCCAATTCAGTCAAAGGTGCTGCTTTGCCAGCATTCTGTAGCATATATAGGCAATTATAAACTTTTATTGTCAATTACTCGCAGCTTGGCTTGGACCAAATTGCTAGCAAATAGTGTGTGTGTATGTGTGGGGGGGGGGGGGTGTTGGTGGGGGGGGGGGGGGGTGCATTCTATTGCATCTAATAAAACACAATTTGAATGCAAATCAGAATGCTCCGCTGTATCTCTAGCTAGCAAGGCCATTGACATGTTTGCATGCGATGTATGCTGAAAATCAATTAAAAGTATGACACGCTGAAAAGAAAAATGCTCCACAGAAAATAAAACATTTCACTCTCAACGCCACCCTTGCAGTGCATTGTGCCAGTGTTTACTTTGAAGGTCAATTCCCTGCAAGGTTTTGCTTAGAATTTTTTCCTCTTTTGATGGAAACGAAAGCTGGTTATGGTGTTCCGCCTACGCTAAAAACGTGTCCTTCAGGTGGCATTCAGGGCCTCGCTGAGATGACAAGTTTGACTAACAAAGAGAGTACTGTAAATGTAGAAATGAGCAGAAAACCTTCATTGTGGCTCTGTCTTGAGGAGGAGAGCTGGCAACTTCAACCCCCCCACCCTAAAGAAAAACCTGAGCTGAAATTTATAGAACAGGTGAAATTTAAAAAAAAAAAAAAAAAAAGGAAAGAGGATGAGAAGCAAAAACAGTTCAAAGAGCACAACTGTGAGAGAGAAGGAAGGGGTCATAGGTAAACAGCGGATTTAGTGCTGTGTTCGATCAGAGCTGACAGCTGCGACAAGAAGAGCTAGCGAGGCATCAGGCAAGGATTCAGATTTTGATGAGGATACAGTAACATCTGCATTTACGGTATGTTTGTTCCATGAAGATCTTAACGGTGGTGACTTCTTCACAAAGGAACGTTTGAAGACAACCGTATTTTCCGCACTATAAAGTGCTTCGGAGTATAAGACGCACCTTCAATGAATGGCCTATTTTAAAACTGTTTTCATATATAGGGCGCACCGCATTATAAGGTGCATAGAATAAAAGCTACAATAGCGGCTGCGGTTGCGTTATGTATCCACTAGAGGGAGTTGCGCTAAAGGAAGTACAATACAATACAGTACAGCTTTATTGATATAGAGCTTTCACAACCGCTGCAGCTGTAACAAAGCGCTTTACAGAACATTCAACATACTACGTCCAAGAAATGATAATATTGATCCATATAAGGCGCATCAGATTATAAGGCGCACGATCGGCTTTTGAGAAAATCAAGTGCTTTTAGGTGTGCCTTATAGTGCGGAAAATACGGGGGTACCTACAAATTTGAGATTAGTCAATTCCAAGTGGTGAAATGACAATACAAGATTAGGAACAGTCCTAACTCGTACAGGGGTGCCTTGGACAATTCTTCAAAAAAGAAGCTTCAAGATGGTTATAGCCAATCCCAGTTAGTTGTCAAATTAAACCACAAAATTGCAAATTATGTGTTTAAAACAACCACATAACTTTGCCTTAAAATCCACCATTTTAATGGAGGGAAAGGGAATACTGTAACAGGAACAAAAAAAGCGCATTTGCGAATAAAGAACAGTGGTCAACATAGCAATGGTTGGAGTTTGTTTTCTCTTTCAAGGTTCAGAGGCTAGCTTTGTTACTTACATTCTTATCTGTGTTGTGGCACACTGGTCTGTGCTGGTGGATTCACAGGTGCTGGCGCTATTCGTCTGCCAACCACGCTGTTAGTGTGAACTGTTGAAGAAATCTTCAGAATAGTTTTTATACCATTGTATTGTTGCTTTAAATGGAAATGTTCATCTTCATGCCTACAACCTTGAAAATTATTGCAGTAGGCGGTATGGAATTCAAGTAACTCTATTTATCCACACTGATTTAATACACAATCACTTGTCATGTTCCTTACACCTGAATAGGTTTTGTTTGTATGAAAACATCAGAATACCGGTAATAATACGGTTATGTGTTGTAGTCTACTTGTATGTTATTACAGGTTACTGAAGTCAAATAAATAGTACATGATTCCCATCACAACCCCAAAGTGACAAAAGCCACGTTCCGACAGTCCGGGATTGATTCCCCTCCAACCGTGACGTTCGGTGCATGTGCTCATCAAGCATTAGCTTCTGAATACATTCTCGATCAATGACTCTGAGTTCATGAGCAGACATCGCTTTTTCTTCAATACTTACAGCAAGAGAAATGTGAATGCTGTGCATGATTCAACTGGATGAACTCTGCTCACACCTTGGTTATAATGTGAGAGGTTTAGGGGTGGGACTGGGGGAAGACGGGGGGCGCAGGGATTGGGAAAAGTGCCCAGTCAGACTTGGATCCCTCACGGCGGGATCCATCTTAGCTCATTTCTACCCTGACAGTGGCTTTCGGGACCCATCGACGCGAGGGTTACGTTCACAAAGGGCTCCAGCAATGTGCCTGGCTTCAGTGGGAAGAGGGCAGATTTAGGGGGAACGTGATATTTCTTTTCACGGTGTAAACTGGAGAGTGTCATTTCATTAACAAACATATTTCGTTTTTATTGCTCTGGGCAGTGCTGAGTTCATTCCATTTGGCTTTTGACAAAAAAGTGCCTCCATGCACATCATGATTGAATGAGGAAGGCCACCAATGAAATGGAATATACAATACGTAGCCATGACATTATGACGACCTGCGTGTGTTTCGGACTAAATATTAGGAACAGCTCAAAGTAGGAGGCAATACTGTTGTACAAAGCTGCAAACTTCCATTTTTTATTGTGCTTATTATTATGTGGGTCATGGGTGTGCTAAAGCCCAACTAATGTTGGCTAATCAAACATGTAGACAAACAAACAACCACAATCACACCTGTGGTCTATTGAGAGTCTTCAATGATCTAAACATGAATATATTGTACAGGTTTTGCTACGACTGAGTGAAAACCTTTTTTTTTATGTCCACACTTGGTGAATAAATAAAATCTGTTCATGTTGTTCTCCAAGTTATCAAACTGTAATATCCTGCTTGCCCTGCGGTTTGGCCAAGAGAATCCAAATGGAGCCACACAAGCAGAGACGGTATAAATTCAAACCTGCTGTATGCATTTATGTCATTCCTGAGCCCGAGGTGCCGGCGCAGGCCAGTAGTTGCTGAGTTACTATGGCAACTCGGGCTCAAACGTCAGAAAAGCTGATAGCAAGGGTTCAAGGGTCATGGCGCAAACAACAAACAGATTGCATATTCTCCCCGTGCCTGCGTGGGTTTTCTCCGGTTACTCCATTTCCTCCCACATTAAAATAAAATTTAAAAAAAAAACAAACAAAAAAAAAACCCCAAAACATGCACGGTAGGTTAATCTAAATTGTCCCGAGGTGATCGTGAGTGTGAATTGTTGTTTGTCAATGTGTGACCAGTTCAGTGTTTGAACTTGATAATACATATACAGTGAGACATTGCCCTCTAGTGGCTGTCTCTATAACTGCTTGTAAAAAATATTCAAAACATTCAGGGAATGCATGGCCTATCAAAAGCCCCGTTCTTTCTTATTGGCTAGGAAGGGGCTGTCAATCAAATGCCTCAGAGGCTTTTTCTGGCTGGTCTCCTCATTGTTGATTTCGAGGTTGGTGAGTGTACATCCCTACGTCGTAATCGGCGGTCTGACAGTGTGAACAATATATTGAAATTTTATTTACCTAAAAATATAAAAATATATCTATACTGTAATACAGCAAACATATATATATGTGTGTGTGTGTGTGTGTGTGTGTGTGTGTGTATACAGTATACACACACACACACACACACGTACCACTCCGTAGGATGTCACTGAGCGTGTCATACCCAGGTGACACCCATGGGTGGCGGAGCTGCTTCCGTACCAGTGGCCCACGAGGACGCGAACCAGACGGACTGGCGTGTGATTGGTTGACGGCCTGCGCGCTCCCGTCGTCTCCTCCCTGGTTTTCTTGGCATGACCTTTTCCCTTGGCAACCACTTCCTTCCTCCGAGCATCCAACGGCCATCTTTAATCGCAACTGGCCCACCGAAAAGTTCTTTTCTCACGTGTAAACACGGCGGAGCGGCTCGTTTGGCGGCACCGAGGACGAGGCGTGCGGGTTACTACTGTCCGGACACGATCCTCAGCCCCACCTCCCCCGAACCGAAGGACCGAAGCGGGGCTGTCGCCTTTATACCACAATAACGTACGTGATGTTTTCCCACGCGGCGTGAATAAGCCGAACCGGTCCCACGCACACTTCTAGCCCGGTGAATGATCTCTAAACTAAAATGCGTGGACGAGTAACGAGTTCGTATGGTAGCGTTTTGTCTTCCGGGTAGAATCCAGCAGGTGGAGTTATGTAAACATACGTCATGGTTTCTTTTGTGAAGCATACAGCAAGTTACACACGCACACACAATCACAGGAGTGTTTAACATTTAGTTAGCCTAGACGCATATTTTACTTAAAAAAAATCTCATGGCACTCCACTGATTGGAAAATGTCCTAAGTATATACATTACAGTAATGTAAATAATGTAAACAATCTCATCTCAAAACAAAACAGTACAATGGAAAATCTATTTTAGCATATACAGGGTGTCCCCAAAGATTTGACATAATTTCACAGGCCTTTTGCCTGTTTGGCAAATATTGTTGATCAACATTTCATATTTATTTTTTTTTCATTTTTGTTCTGTTTTTAGGTTAAGTGCGAGTTTTGCTGTTCACTCCCAGAGAGAAGTCATTTTGCTTCTAGGGATATGCTGGCACACAGTCACCCACGACAGTGCAGCGTGCCGCCTTCAATGCAAATTACCAACTTTACGTGTGCTGTGTCACACTTACAAAATTGGTCCCAGAATAAATTGATGATGGTCAACACCTAATCTGTTAAATATCAATGAGCTAGACTAACAAATTTTGAAGATAAATGCTTTTAAAATCCAGACTGAACTGCTGTGCATTGTGTCTGCGACTAACATAGCTGCAATTCAAATTTCAATTGCAGGTGAGCAGCGTTGCAATGTCGCAGATGTAACGGCCAATAATGCCGTGTCACATCACATTAGTTTTCAAAGCAAAAATAAAGTTTGAACTCACTTTCTGTTACCGGTGTGTGTCTTGTTGCAGGAAGGATGAGGAAGAAACAGACGGCCAAGCAGAGGAAGACAGAGGATTCTTGTGACGTGCAGGAGTTTGTGGTTGAGAAGATCACTCGTCGTAGGATCTTCAATGGAAGAGTAGAGTACTTCCTAAAGTGGAAAGGCTTCACTGAGTGAGTACATTTTTTCCCCACCAAGCAAATGATTTTAATCATATTACTGTAGGCTTACTTTTCATTCAGATGACTTTTACACAACAACAACAAAATTCTGTCAGTCCCACTCATGTGCGTTCCAAGATATGACTTTTATCTAAATATTGATTCATACTATTAAACAACTCAAGCAAGAGAAGACATGCAAAATTGTCATCAGTAGGTTTGAGCTAATTTTTGAAACTGAAACATTTTCAGTTTGACATTTATCAAAATAGTAATTCAGTCTGCTAAATGTTTGATCCTATATGAAAAAAAAAGGAAAATGATAGCCCTAGACGAGATGGAGCCTATCACAACTGACTTTGGGCGACTGGTTGCCAGTCTGTTGCAGGGCATATACAGACAAAAATTTACATGCGCACTGCTTGCCTATTTTGGCAATTTAGTCTTCAGTAAAGCTAACATCAATGTTTTTGTCATGTGGGAGAAAGCCTGGGTACCTGGAAAAAAACTTAAGCGAGCATCACGAGAACATTTTAACACCACACCAGAAGGTTGGGGCCCAGATTAAAACCCAATACGTCATAATTGTTCGACACGCAATACAAATACGGGATTGTGACATGGAAAATTAGGCACAGCGATGGATGAAATGCTCTACTGCTTTAAACGTACATGGTTGTTTAACAGATGCAGGCATGAGTGGTTTCAGCATTTTAACAATACAGAAGTTAGCTTCAAATAGAATATCGTACAGCCACACATGCTTTCTCATCCTTTTTATGAGTAAAGCCTCGCCTTTCCATTTTGACCGTGACAAATTCATCTTGCGGAGTTGCGGCCAACTTGAAGTCCACCAAACCAGTGGGAAAAAGCACCAGGCCGCTTCCCAGAAATGGAGTAGAAGAATACATCATGACTGAGGTTATGACATCCCAGAGATTTTTTTTTATGCCTTTTTTTAATGCTAAATGCTTTTGATAGGTCCTAAAACGTGGGCATGCCTGGCTATATACTTGGTCACTCAAGCATAAAAACGGCATCTGTGTAATGACACTTGAATGAAGATTTCAATGCGGCACTCACATGCAATCGTTTGAGAAATGTGAGGTTAAGTGGTACAGAAAATGGATGTTTCTTATCCATGAGGGGTGTAATTAAAAAAAACAAAAAAAAACAATTAAAATTGGAAACCTGCCTTTGATTTAAAAGGTGAGAGTGTATCCAGTCAAACCGAATCTTTCCACTTGAAAATGTATGGAGATACCTATGAAAAATCATCTTTTATTCTTGTGGAAATGCCACATTTAGAGTACTGACAAGTTCATTCGAATGTATGTAAATGACAACAAGAAACTAATTGCAATTGAATCGTACAATATATGTATCGAGATACATACAGTATCCAATTGTATTTTCGGGGAGAGATGCACAACTCTAATTTGCAAGTCTCCTAACTCACTAGCATCTCTGCAGTAAGCACACTCATCCCTCTCTTTTTTTTTGTTCTTCCCGGTTTCAGGGCAGACAACACGTGGGAGCCCGAGGACAACCTGGACTGCCCGGAGCTAATTGAGGAGTATCTGAGAAATAACCCCTCGAACGAGAATGAGGAAGTGAAGCAGGAGTTCGTTCCGAAAGAAGAAATGACGGAGGGGACAGAAATAGTGAGTGTCTGGGAGTGCGAATGTTTCCTTTGGATGAAAAACAAAACAAAAAAAAAAAACCCCACCTAAATGTGACCCAGGTAGAGCGATAGCAGACGCATTCTGGCTAAGAATTTGGAGGAATTGTACTGCGATTGTGTTTGTATGATTCTTGTTATGTGGTCACAACATACAAGTAGAATACTACTTGATTTAACAAAGTCAATGAAGTGGACAAAGTGCAACTGACAAATATTACAATGGAATATTTAAAGATTTATTAAACGTGAGTGGAGCTATTTAATGCAATTTAAAGAAAAATGCGCTGTTTTTCATTTGACAGCTATGTTGGGAAGAATGTGGTCCGCTGTTACTGCAAATTAGTCAGCAGACATGACTCAGAGGCATACATCGCCTTTGTTAAAAAGAAAGTTAGCCACTTTGTTCATCCCCCCCTACATGTTTTGAATTAATTCCTCTTTTATGAGAATGTCAAACCGCATTCAACCCTTTTTACCTTTTGTAGTCCCCACCACAGATACACACTCAGCCCTGCGGCGATGATCCAGATTCGCCCGCAGACTTGGCTGCTTACCCCGAGCTAGAATGCATCATCGGCTCCGCAGACAGACGGGGAGAGCTCATGTTTTTAGTTAAATGGTAACTTCACTTCTTCTTCCTTTTTTAATTGTGCAGATTCACAATGAGCAAATGGTACATTGGTGCAATTCCTGTCAATGTGTGACCATGACAGTGAAATCAGGGAAGTGGTGCATTTTAGTTGTGGTTTGATTTCCCTCCTTTGCTAATATAAAAAAAAAAAAAAGTACACAACAATGACTTTATTCGGAACAAGTTCAGCTCTTCTAGGATTTTGCGTTAATTCTCCTGATACCAAACAAGCTTTGAAAAAGTGTTTGACCGAGCATTCACTTGCATCAACTTCCACAGAAATACGTTTTATTTACTGATATTTACGCATTAAAATAAAAGCAAATGTCGTCACTTTGTTCCAGCCCCACAAACAAAACCAACAAAAATGTCTGCCATGGTTTTAAGGGTAAAATTAGCATTCTACAGTATTGTAATTCATAAAAAGAGCAATTTCCTAGTCAACTCTAAAGAACTAAACAGTTTGTGCATCATGATTTCATCAAGTCAATCTCCATTGACTTAGTTCTCCTGATCAGTCTCATGCACATTTGAGTAAAAATAATCCTATTTCTTAAAATGACAAAGCAGCTTTTATTGTATTTTCACTGACCCCATCCAATTACACCAATGACCTTGGTGGGTTCACGGACCCTCAATTGAGAAACTATGACTTGAAGGGTTACAACCACTGCACCTTTGATGCTAGTTCCATGAGCCCGTCCCATTATGCGTGAGATGATCCAGTCACTTCAAAGTGTTTTTTTATGCCGCAGGAAGAACTCTGGCGACGTGGCCCTGCTGCCGGCCCACGAGGCGAGCACCAGGTGCCCTCAGGCAGTCATCGACTTCTACGAGCAGAAGCTGACGTGGCACTGCGGAGATGACGAGCAGTGACGCGCGCCAAAACAGGTCGAGGTGAACCTACGCCGTGAAGCTTTGAAGTTTCGTTTTACCTCTCCCGAGCGGCGTCGCTCAGCTGACCTCAAGCACATAACGGCGAGCGTGCACGCCGTGCGGTAGACACTAAACGCTGCCTTTTTTCTGCAGCCGATTAAACTGTAGCCTCTTCTTGTGTTATCATGTAGCACACCCTATCACTGTGGACTGTATCTTTTTTTTTTTTAAGTCGTGATTTCATATTTCTGCTCTTTGTTTTTGTCCTCCAGTGTGTGTTGTAGCACATTTTACCATTAGGCAGTGAACTCACACCTTTGCACAAAACCTTCAGTTAAGTGTGCAAGAAGGAATTATGTATTGCTCAAGAGCTAAAGGCAGTGTAAACCTAAGCCCTGTCATATGTGACGTGAAATACATATCATGTAGTTTTGAGTGTTTAAAGCAAACGGTAGTTGAGTAGATCGTTTTACACCAGGTACCACCTCAAAAATACGAAGCTCTTTAAGTACCACCATATCGGCCAACATTAAAATACAATAGCATAGTAGGCCTAAGTGTTCCTCAAAAACAAAAGGTTTTTTTTTTCTTATTATTGTAACCCACTGCAACATTATGGCCAGTTTTTAAATGAATATGGTGCTTCAATAAAGGAGAAAAAAACTGTACTGGAATAATGAATCAATAAAAATGTATTCCACGCAAAGGTTCAATAAAAATTGCAGCTAAATGCTTGAAAACAAACAGTTGTAAAAGATTCAATTCCAGTGTTTTGTGCTTAAAAATTAAATACAACCGAACTGTACTTAACAAATATACCCTACTGGATTAAAATAAAAAACAAAAGTTGAAGCCACTGAAACATTCACGGTTTGAACAGTTAATTCAGTGATTCTACCATGTAACACTAGCGGGAGGCTGTCTGCCACTTAAGGTACTCTCCCTCCAGTTTGCGAACCACCGCACTTCTTGACTAGCAGAGGCACCATTGATAACGTCTCAAAACAATGATGTGACATCAGCTGTCGGAAGGTGTGGTCATCTCCAACTTGCAGTCATGTACTTCATACAACAAAGAACAAAGAATCAGTATCTTAATCGTCTGCACAGAATATAGTCAGATTCCAGGTTTTCCTATTTAAATGTCATCTGTCATACATGTGCACCCCCCCCAAAAAAAAAAGTGAAACAGAACAACAAAAAATTCAAACTTTGCCCTTGACTCTACACTTTTTTTGGTCTTATTTTTGTTTATTTTATTGCAGTGTGTGTTTTGTTTGTGTGAAGAGATATTTTTGTCCATTGTGATGCTCATTTGCTAAGTAACTAAAGCTTATAAATAAATGTAGCGAAGTAGAGGCTTTAGTGAATGAAACTACTCTTTGTGCAGTGGGGGAGGGGGACTGTTAGTGCAAAGTTCTTGATTAAATGTACTTGGTTGCTTTTTGAATTTCCCTGTCCCGCTGTGTCCTTGTAAAATGTATTTTGTGGCTGAAACTGTTGCCCAGCATATTTCCAATTAGCTGCTTCATGCCAAATATCCCCCCCCCCTTTTTTTGTAAAGACTTTGACTTTTGTTCATTCAAACAGGTGCTATTCACCACAGAGATAAGCAAAAAAGAAAATAGTCGCCATTCTGCCCTTAAAGTGTTGTGCACAATTTTTGCACACAGTCTCAAAAAAAAGTTCAATGTAGCACTTTAGATGAGCAGTGGGAAGTCATCGGTCAGTTATTCCTCACGTGCAAGGGACGTTTCCTGTTATGGCACGCTCGACTTAACCTTACACCTCCTCATAAAACACACCTACTTTACTACTGAGCGGTTGTTACTGTGCGTGAGTGTGCTGTAGACACTGTAGGTCTGTCACATGGCTGCGAATAAAAGAATCATTGTGTGACCTTTACTTGGGCCTTGTGTATTCTTTTTCCTCACTCGCTCGCAACCACAAAATTTTTTAAAGTCATTCAGCCCAAATATGAGCAAATATGTTCTTTCAGCGGCATATGGTACTGGAAACAAGGTTGTTCAGGGTTCTTATTGGAACTAAGACTAGACTACTACTTTAAGCACTAACTCGCCTGGTTTACAGACAAGTGGCTCATTTGGAAACAGAAAACTTGAGGTTTGTTTTTATTTCATGGTCAAAACCTTGGTTTCATTGTTTCAATCTTGGCCATAATTCCAAAAGGTATGTTTGGTACAAAGATTGTTACCAAAACAACATCAAGTGAAGGTGAGGGGAATTATGAGCGCTCTGAAATTGTACTAATCAGTGTTAGTACATAGTATTTACTCCGACGCTAAGAACAACAAAAAAATGTCAGGAAGAACCGACTAGAACATCTGAACTTTGGTTGGGGTTAATCAGCCGTCCTTTAAATGGTGGAAGGTGTGTGCTGACTCGCGTTTGAATGGGTTTGGTTAATTCTGAACACAGCCACATCCCAGTTTGAACAGGGTGTGCACAATTTTTATCTCTTATCTCAATTTATTTTGACTTAAGACTCTCAAAAATATTTTTTTTTCTAATTGAGCTGTGCCGGTTCTAGAGCACACTAATTTTATCTCAATCATTTACCGTAAATCACAAAAATGTAAACCTGAGGCCGTTCTATTCTAATACAAGTACTAGTACATAATAGTACACAGTAATAGTTGTATATTGCATTTGACAATGCATATGATTGTTTGAGCCTTGTTTTGCTACAGTGGCACAGGGAGGAGGGGAAGGGGTTAAATGGGAGGTGCCAGTGGAAGTCTGATGACAATACAGTATTTTGAAACCTTTGCCCTTTTTTTTTTCAATAGTAGAGCCACGGAAAATAAAACCCTCCAGCTCACTGCTATGTGCAACACAATCACACATTCTTGTGAAACGCAAACACATTCCGACATGTTGACCTGCAAGAGAAAGAAGCGACCTTCCCGATGAACTCATCAGGTAGGTCTAACAATTAAATCTTGACCTTTAACTATGTCCACAAGACATTTGCCTTTTTGGACCTGAGCAAAAAAAAAAACACTTCTATGGATTTTCCTAACGTGTCATGCAACTTCCTCTATGTGCTGATTCATTCAAAAAAAAAAAAGCTTCCCTTTTCCTGCATGGCCAGTATTCCTGCTTCAGTCCTCCATGCAGCAGGTCATCAGCGTGTGGGTTCGAGACCCACGCATCCAAAAGAATGATTTTTGGCACGCTTACATGGACTATGAAATTTGCTTACATGTAAGTGAAGAATATATATCTATTTTTTTAACCGCTTAATATTTTCTGTCACTTGACTTGTTCACGCCTTTTAGACAGATAGCGTGTTCTTCACCAAGAAGATGTCGCGAGTGCGAAGGAGGTTCAGCGAGTTTGTGTGGCTTCGACAAAGGCTGCAAGCAAACTCCATGCTGATGTGAGCGGAAATGATTTGACACTGTCCGACAGCTTCCTATGTTATCTGCTCTCAGTCAAGGGGTCATTTAAGAAAAATAAAAAAATTGTCCTTGGCAGGGCACAACTACCGCAGCTGCCCCCGAAGAACCCCTTCTTTAGCCTGAATAACGCACAGCAGATCTCTGAACGCATGGCGGGCCTCCAGAGGTTCTTGGAACAGTAAGAATCATCATACTTTGGAATAAATGTTTAAAAAAAACATAAATGCCCTTATTTGTTAAATTTATTAGTGTGTCTCAAATCTTTTTTTAGTGAGTCAAACTTTTGATTTGACCTAATCAAAAGTATTGCCAGTTAAACATGTACATTAACGCAAAATAAAAATGTTTTATATTTACCACAGACTACTGAGACAAGTTTCACTTCTAATTTCTTGTTTCCCTTTTCCTCTCTTCACTTCTTGTTCTTTTTCCTTCCTTTCTTTCTCATTACCGACTTGCTCCCCAAATTGGATCCCATCATCTAGGATCCTTCAGAGCCCTCTGCTGCTGTCCGACAGCTGCCTGCACCTTTTCCTGCAGTCGCAGCTCAGCATGGCCAAGATGGAGGCCTGTGCCGAAGGAAGGACACGCTACTCGGTGGCCCAAGCGGTGCAGTGCTGCGGCATCAGGAGGTTTCTATCCCAAGAGGCCTTGCAGAAGGACTCAAACATTTCCGGTGACTCTGATTCAGACAGGTATCACATGACATTGTGCGCCCTCCTGAAGTTCCATGTCAACTTTTTTCATGTTTGTGGCTCAATTTTAACTCAATTACGGGGGTTCAGACCTGCACTAAAGAGAAAATGGAGCCTCTAAGTATTAAGGTCTAAAAGGGCCATTATGACTGTAAAAATTCTAAATTGTGTGGTGTCCGACGGCGTTGTGTTTAAGAATATTGACGACGCACAGCAGGATGTCTTGTTTTGGCTGCGTTTAATCGTCTCAATCACAAAGCCTTAATTATAGTGATACAGCGCGCCCCTTCCCATGGACATCAAGAGAAAAAGGGGAGAGTCAAAGGCGTGAGTTTAACTTAAAAGAGGCAGTGCCACATGAATAATTGAAGTCGGGGAACACATACAAATGTTTTTGTTCCACCCTTTGATAATGGAGGACATAGTAAAAGAACACGTCAGGTTTTGATCATTTCCAAGATTTTGTGTAAGAGAGAAAGAGAAAGAGAAAGAGACAGAGAGGAGCTGAACTTATCATAGGCCAGATTGTCATTATGGTTACCCTTTGGGGCCCTGTTCCAAAGGTGAAACCACATGAAGCATGAATGTCTTAGAGAGTGTAACGGTAACCCTAAAAAACAAACAAAAAACAGCAGGAAAAAAAAATCACAGTTCCTTGGTTTTAGATTTCTAGTTTTGTTCCTTAAGGGAAGAAAAACTGCTCATCTATTGTGCAAATAGGAACAGATTATGATGATGAAACATGAAAAGCTTACATCTTCTTTTTAAGACTGTTACGGAATTACAGTACTTCCCCCACCCGAACCATCATTTTTTTTTTTTCCACGCTGCCTCAATATTCAAATTGACAAGTTTGACTTTCTGCCAAACAACATATCATTAGCCCTGACATCTGCTGGCCGGAATATCACTGTGTTTGTGTACAGCAGGAGTGGGCAACTCCGGTCCTCGAGGGCCGCTATCCTGCATGTTTTAGATGTTTCCCTCCTTTAACACCTGATTCAAATGATCAGCTCATCAGCAAGCTCTGCAGGAACCTGATAATGATCCTCATTATTTGAATCAGGAGGGAAACATCTAAAATATCCACATTCAATATTCAAATCTGTTCCATAATCAGTTTTTGGGCACAAACAAACCAATAAACAGCAATCAAAACAATATGTCCATCAATAACAACACAATATGAAATGGAGTCTCCCTTGTTTGTGTTTTTAGCTCTGATTGCAGAGATTCAGAGAGCCAGTTTAAAGAAGATTTGGCGTTGAAGCAAACCTCTCCTGATCATGAGGGAACCGAGCAGGAGCAAAGGGTCTGCTCGTCCCCAGATTCCGCGTGACATCATCATCGTCACTCACAGTCATACTGGGAGTCAAAGAACAAAGTGAACCGTTACCGTGTGCAAATTTTTAAAACTGTTCCTCCTTATTTTGATGATGCTGACATTCATGGTCAAAGCATGTCAAGTATAAAAGGTAATCAATGGCCATCTCAACTGTTACTGTGCTCATGTAAAATTATGCTGGCAGAAAAAAGGTGCCAGAAGGTGGCAGTGTCGTAACATCCATCTGTATAACGCACATACACGTCCTGTGAATGTGCAGCACGTTGTCTATATTTACTTCACAAACAAATGTATCACATATCACGGTCATTTCAGTTGGGCTGACTTCCTGATATGTCAACACGCGTCTCACAGTGACTGCTTTTATTAATAAGCTGTGACATGCTTCTCAAGTGACCGGAGCGGAGTGTTAAGACAGGTGTGGTCTGGCCCCTGCCTTCGAGGTCCTTTGGGAAGGCAGGTGTGCCCTCCTCTCTATAGAATAACTTGCCAGCTTCACTGTTTTCATTTGCATTTGCATAAGCCCCGCGGCCCATCCCGACACTCTCTGCGTATGATGCTCCTGCATTTGGAGCGACTGTATGCAGGCGCTCCCACAGTGAGCAGCGGTGTGCTCATGCAGAGGTAATGAACACTAAACAGGTTCAGGCTGGCGTGACATGCAGTATCTGCACAGCTAATTAGATAAGCTCTGTGCTCATTATAGATTCCGAGCAGACACAAAGAACGTGGTAAGAAATTGAAAGGGGGGTTGGGGGGGTCATCACCTTCGAATATGGCGGATGGGAGAGGAGCCCTCAAACTCAAATTGGCCCAAGGATGTGTGAAGATATGTGGGCGGAAAGTCTGCTCATGCACGTCCGCTTATGATAATGTTTCCTGCGTGAGGGGGAAGTATTACAATGGAGATTTGAAATATATATTCTGCACACACATACAGTAACACCACATTTGCAGGTAATGAACAGCCTTTTTTTTGTTGTTGTATTTTTGTGTCCCCATGCTTTGAAGTGAATTACTCTATTTTTATTGCAAATGTAGATGAGGATTATTTATCTCAACTGTGTTGTTGTCATTTAATATGTACATAGGATTGATCTATTCATCAAATAAAATGATCGTTTGAGTCACTCTACAATGAAAATGCTTTGTGAGTTAGCTTGATATAGATCAGTGATTGTCAATGATTTATCATTGATCTTTTTCCCCTCCCATTAGGACACAGCCTGTCCATTCTGGCAGGGGGACGAACTATGAAAATTAGCCTTGTGACAGTTATAGTAGTACGCATTTGCATAACTATGGAGATGTTCATTCATGAACCGGTACACCGGCCCCTAGTGAACAAATAAAGAATCAAATAAAATTCTCAAAGGGTGGTCCTAGTACCACCTGTGATACTCGGGTTCACTCAAGTGATACTTGAAAGAATCATTGCCCGGGTATAGTATAAGATAGTTCAGCTTTCTGTAAAAAATTTCCCATATCTAGGTGGAGTGCGAAAGTTCAAATTGTGTATAATGTTCAAGTCGTATTGTTTTCATGAACACTGAAACTTACTACGCTACTGTATAGTAATGTTGCCCATTGCGGTGGTACTTTTAGTATTTTTTGGGGTGGGGTTGGACTTTGAACATAATTTATTTAACATATTTTGTTATTATAAACAATTCCACATATTGTCATATTGCATTTAGCATTTTTTTTCCCAAAATAATTAACAAATAATTTATCTTGTTTTAGATATAAACAACTGCACATTTGACGGGACTGTACATGCTTTTACAATACTCCATCCAACCGTATAATTTCTATACCGTTTATGGTTCCAGATCAACGGGTGAGCTGGAGCCTATCCCCAGGATGACACCCTGGAATGGTCGCCAGTCAGTCACAAGGCACAAAGACAGACAAGCGATCAGTCTCACATTCACACCATCACTGTGTTAACTGAAGCCACTCTTCCTGCAACAGTCAGGCGAATGTACCACTGCACCGTTAGTAACCTACCTATTCGAAAATTCATACTGTGCAGACCTAACCCAAGGACACAGTATAACATCAAACCAAATACAATTCAAAGATACGTATAATTGTAATGTGCTACACTGGTGAATTTTGAATCTGGTTTACAAAGTATTACATTCTGTATTTATTTTACTCCCGAGTACCTTACAAATATCGCTGATTTATTTTTCTGCCAGCCTGCGTAAAACATTAGAAAGAAGAGACTACAGAAACCATGACCTGAGGTGAGAAAAAAAATAGCAATCATAGAACATTGCTGCCTTGGGATTGGCTGGCAACCAGTCCAAAATGTATGCCTATCGCCTGAAGTCAGTTGGGATAGGCTGCGGCTCCGCGTGACCCTGAGCGGGAATAGCGGCATAGAAAATGGATGTCTGGATGGATGGATGTGTTATTGCAATGATCCTGATAGGAAACTCATGACTATAGATTCTTAAAAGATGTGGCTGCTAATGCAGGAGGGTGCCCCATTTCTTTTCATCATATAGCACTTTGTGGCCAGCAATTAAACATATAATGTTAGGTTAGGTTAAGTAAATCACACAAATATTACTCTACAGTCCGCCACACGGCTCAGCAATGGCCAATAAATCTACGCAGCACTAAGAGCTTGTTTCTTTACTTAAAGTCTGAGCAATTAAAACGTTGCCGGTGTCAGTCTGACCTGTCCAGCGGCATCGACCACTTCCTTTAATGGCGTATGACTGCGGCCCCTCGGCTGTTAACCTTGAGCCGAGGTGGCCTACCCCGCTGCCATGACAACAGAGACACCTTTAAACCCAACACATCGATCTGCTAACAGCTCCTTGCTTCATGTTGCGTGACCTCCAAGAGGTCAAAAGGAATTAATAAAAAAAATAAAATAAAAAAAAAGTGGAGAGGAGGGGCGTGGAATGTCACTGCAACTGGCTAAGACCGCAGCACAACTGTTCAAGCAGGATATTAAAAATTCCACTTTTATCACTATGGCAAATGCGTGAGCAATGCAACCTGTGATGAACATGCTCATAGTTAGACTGTCGAAAAAACAAAGGCGAATGGAACCTTTGGTGGGGGCGTCCATCAGTCTGAGAGACGTGGCCCGTCTCGCGGCTCAAACCTCAAGTCTGCGATTTCACGCTTGTCTCACTCTTATCACTGTCATCGGCCGGGTCAAAAATCCATTTTATGTGCGGGAGAAGCACTTGTGTGTTCCAACTTCAATGTAACATTCTTTGCTGCACTCCCAAGTATTGAGGGAGATACGCTCCAGTGCAGGCAAATTACAGATAAATCAGTGGCTGCTCATGCATTTTAAGTGCCACATTATACACAATCCATTAGTAGCCATAGAAGTTCAGCATGACTTGCGATATTAAATCTCCGTGACTGAGACTATGTAGGAACAGTCGATATGTGCCAATAGATAGGAGATGAGAGCAAAGGAATGACGCAGGGATGAGACGCCTGCAGTCCAAATGATAATGGCCCGGGCTGGCGAGACTGATGTGTCGCTTTGTTATACAGCCACAAAATCTCATTCAAGTGGGAGCAAGCTAAATGGTGTGGAAGTCCTGGATTAATTAAATTGTTAATTATACTCCACTCGGCTCGCGGTATTTTTTTCCACGCTATCTCGCTTTTCATGCCAAAACTGACCTTTGACTTGCAGCGGGCTGCAAAAATCAGCATGACGGGGCAGCCGAGATGAGTTAACGGTCCTTGGAACTCAAGCTACTGCAGACGGCTTTGTGTGTGACTGCAAAAGAATTCAAGAAATTAAAACTAAGCACAAAAAGTGAAACGAAATGCAAGAAAAAGAGGGAGGAAAGGGGTCATTTTTAAACGTTATTCACCTTGTAACTTTTTCCTGCAAAATATCTGACAGTGTTCATAACGAATTGTTAAAAAGGAAGTTAAAAATATTTTTATTTGTATACAGACACACCAGAATGACTTTGCCTTCCGAATATGGGATCAAAATCTCATTTCATCAAGTTTACAGCAACTTTCACATGTGTTTGTGGACCTTGCGTGGTGCATTGTGAAGAAAGCGTCTCTCATCAAGAATGAATGATTTTTTTTTTTTTATATATATATATATATAATATTTTTTTTTTTTTGCTTGTATGTGGAATTGACATCACTATCCACCCATTCATCCATCCATTCTACCCATCAGCTTCTCGGATGGCGCTAAAAGAGATCTATTATGAATTTATGCAATACTAAGAGGCTACAAAACAAAAAGGAAAACTGGACATTATGTGAGAAAACACCCTGCAGCCCCACTTTATCTTTTTTAGTGGAATAAAATAAATAGATGACGGCTAAAAAAATATTTCCGACAAGCCGGGTTTTTTTTCCTTCCGGCACATCCACATTTCTAATCTAGCTCTCTATTCTCTTCCACTCATTTATTTGCGATTCAGTAACCTTCTTATCAATGTAATCGTCCTCTGCACTACTCGGCTATTTCTCCTCCACGTGCTGTCTGAATGGTGCCGGTGCATGCATGTAGCAATTGCATGGAGTTGCTTCTCGTCTCCTGTAATCACAGCTGATCTGCGATGCCTTGAACACACTGGCCTGAGGGTAAACGGTGATCACACAATAGTTTCACCATTGCCTGAAGTCAGTTGCTAGATAAAAAACGACCCATCGTCTTTGGAGAGGGACTTGATGGATGAGAAGAACCTTGCATTCAGACGACGTCTCCCTACTCACAGTTCGTATTTATTTATACTTTCCAAACTGTTCATTGTGACATATTGTGTAGTGTGTGATTGCTGACAGATGCTGTCACTGAACGCAGGCCCCAAAGAAAAAAATTGAAGACGACAGTGCTTATTTATGCATCACAGCAGATTCCAGCAACCCTCAAGCATCTGGCAGTGTGACTGGATATTTGGTAAGCTTCTATCAAAAACACTGACCCATGTCATAAAGTACAAAAATGATTATTTTATGTTCTAGGTTTATACCTTCTTCAATATGTCATATTGTACTTCCTAAAAACATACAGTAATGACACAATTAAATAGGATGTGACCAATTAAACCAGCGGTCCCCAAACTTTTTCCTGTGAGGGCTGCATAAGCTTTCGCTTCTGTGATGGGGGGGCCGGGGTCAGTCTGGAACAGAAAAAGGGTGACCGCAAGAGTACGGAAATGTAAAAATGGATTGTTTTCCAGAAACCCACACAAAATGAAGCCGCCTCTTGACAGATGAGACTGACAGACGTTTCTTTGCGCTGAAAGAAACAAAAACAAAAACATCGTTTGTCCACTTTGGGTTAAATACCCTGCATTCTATTTTTCTCTTACCGAACCATTTCGCCATGATCCCGTTCTCTGAGAGAGGGGCCGGTTTCGGATTTTTTTTTTCTGGCGTTGCCAGATAATGGCACAGAAAGATGCACCAAATGTCACCTTATTGTATCTGTGTTTATGAAATAGTTGCTAATTAATAGTTAATAATGAAAACGGTTCAGAACTAAGGAACATTTTATTGCAAAAGCCCAACTTTATGATCAAAGACAAATCCACATCGATGAAAAATAAATCAAAATACTCTGTGGTATTTTCAGGGGGCCGGACCAAATGCGGAGGCGGGCCGGATCCGGCCCGCGGGCCGTAGTTTGGGGACCACTGAATTAAACAGTATGTGCATCATGATTATTTTATTGCAGCTCCTTCTGGCGTGTTCAACTTGGCTACCGGGAAGTAGTATAATGCAATCATGCAGACAAAGAAGGAAGAGTTTCACTGAACTACTGCAAGTGTCTCAGTCATGTGTCGTAATATTAACCTTTTGTTACTTAGAGGATAAAGGAAAAAATATGCTTGCAAATATTCTTACACTGTCTGTCCACGTGTGTAGCAGCACCATTTGTGGTCAAATATCCTTTCCTTGTTTTATATTAGCTAATTTTAGCTTGGAGTGTCATTAAACAGCTTGAAGCCTCTATTTTTTTCCAGATTTTTGAACTATTTGCCAAACTGCTACTTGTTGTGAACAGAGTTGAATTGAGTTCAGTGCCATCGTACAGAGCTTCTATGTCAAAATTTTGCTTGCAAGTCAAAGCAAAAAAATTAGCCCAACGGCGGCTTGTATCTCAAAAATCTTGTAAAGACGGGCGGGTCACCTGGTACTCAAGGCACCACTGTATAACTGTTTTGAGGAAATGACATTTTTTTTGTAGTCGACTTTTCACTGTACTGTCTTCACTAAAGCGTTTATTGAATGACTATAGTTACTGTTGTCCAGTTATGATTCTCTCAATGTCTTCAATTACTTTGTATACCATGAAGCTTCAAATTGTAATTGCTGTTCTCATTGGCTATTTGACTTGATCAATGTACAGTCGACCCCTGCATACTCATGGTTCAGCACACACAGATCCACATATTGGAAGAATATTTTTTTCCCAAAAAATTATTTTAAAAGATTTTTTTTAATATATTCAGGGGTTTTTGTTCTTATCACAATAGCTGTGATTAAAAATTATACTAATGTTATTACAAACATTTTCAAAGAAGAAGAAGCAACTTTCCACTGTCTTTCCACAATGAGTCACACACATGATGTTCATCACAGCTTTTACTGCACGCACGCTTCTGGACACAACGCACCCATTTATATTCAATTTTGGAACAAGCGGTGGCTAGGAATCAGTATACGATGTAAATTGGTCTTATCTCGGGACCCAACCAGATGTTAGAGTTCACCCTGTCCAGGATTTCAACCTCGAACCAACACTTTTGAAGAATGTTGCATTATATGTACTTTAGCCTCGATACACAAATAAACTGGGTCCACGATGGCGACCCCAAATCCAGTCTTCAACCAAATCTGCCGAGTAGAAATGATTCAACCAACCTTGGGTAAAAGTAACCCACGGCGCTCAAAGTTAACAGCTACCCAGCAAGTGGGCTAGAAAAACAACCCAGCATTTCTTGGTGCCGATGATTAAACCACACATTGTTCTCCGGGAGAAAAAAAATGAACAGTAGATTAAGAAGTGCACAAGAGCATTACGCGAATGCCCGTCTCTTGGCATTCACGCAAAAAAAGGCTGCACAGAGCCCAAACAGCACTTGAAGCCGCGCTATGAAACACGAGCATTGTAAAATAGCATCAGTGCCTGTGACGGCTTCTACTCATCCTTATTTGTGTCTTGACACAGGGGAACATCCCCTCTGCTGTGAATAACACCCTCTCCCGACTAATGTCTTGTTAGAGATGAGGAACGAGTAGAGGTGGAGCTCTTTTGGTCCGAGCCACTTCAGTAAATGTTGAGACAGCGAGAGGACGAGAGCGTCTGCAGAAAGGCGATGGGGGAGAATGAAGGTGTTAGAGGGCACCGTCTCCGGAGGCCTCGGCGCTTGGCTGCCAGCGTGTGTAAATCAGCAGGCAGCTCACGGCTGCAATGAGGTAGAAAATAAAAAAAACATAAAAATGTCCGCGTGAAATAAGAGGCAAGGAGAAATCTTTTATGGCGAGCCTAAATTCTCCTTACTCTGCAGTAGATCCAACGGCCAGCTCAGCTTGTCTTTTCCAGAGCCCATTTATCATGCTACTGTCTGCATAGCCACAAATTACTCCAATTACCCACCTGCTCTTCATCTACCACACGTATGACCTAATGAGAATCCTAAATTCACCGAATTATCAGTAATAGTGACTTAATAGGGCTGTGGCCCATTTCTTGATATACTTGTACTGTATTGTGACGGCCAATCCCAAGTAACGTAAAGTGTGTTTTGGAAATAAGGATTCAGTGCTTGGATGAGTTTTCACTGCACTCAGCAGATAGTATTGGTGAAAATTGGAGCGTATGTAGCACAAGAAGAGGATGCAAAGCTCCGTGTACATGTTTTAGCCCTGCTTGACTCAGATTTGACTTGGTTTGGGGTGTTTCTTCCACTTCCCAGGACGAAACTATGACATTTATTTTGGAGTCAACCAGTCCTCCCTTAAGCGTATCCAGTTGTTCCAAAATGCTGCTGCTCAATTACAATATGTCACTGTGAAAGGAAACCCTTGAAGAAACTGAACTGGCACGAATTCAAGGAGCATTAATAACAGCTTACATACAATTACAATACGATAAATCAACTGTAGTGGTTGACACGGCACTGGCAATTCCCATTCATCTAAAAATATCAGCCCCGTGTTTCTGATATGCCGTAGAGGAAGCTCTGTGTTAATGTCCTGCGTCACACATACATGGTCGCCCTATGTAAGCAGTGCACTAAATTAGCTCGGGCTAGCTTGGCAGCCCAGTGTTTGAATAAATAATACGCAGACACTTAATGAGGGTAATCACAAGCAATCTGCTTTTTTAGTGGCTGCTAAAGCCCTGCAACTCAATCCTTCGGCCTTCTTACTTCCTGTGCACTGTGCCTATATAAAGACCTGACATTGAGATTGGAGCTCACCTAGAATGTGAGGTCAGTAGGAGCGGGGAGGCGTCAACGTGTGCCTGTGGCGTAAGAGAGGGAAAGATGGCAGTGCTTAGTGTACTGGAGACTGGCAGCCAGTCAGCTGCAGTGAGCCGTTGAGCTGCAACAGTGCCCGGAGGCTTGTAATTACACTTAGAGCATCGGTCGCATCACACTGTAAACTATCCGGCCCAGGATCGTTACTCAGCTCACTAACTAGTAGAGTAAATCAGAGCTCTGTCCTCATATTAGAGCTCCAGGCAGCAAGTAAACAGAGTTAGAGTATGGCGGCTGGAGCCGAGTAAATTACCAGGGAGGAGATGGAGCACGGGGCGAGGTGTGGGAGAGGTTTATGGTAGATGGACAAACACCTGTCACGCCCATAAGACTGATTTATCCTGAGTGATACGTCAGCACATAGCTCTCGCAAGCGTGACAGCCCACACCGTATGAAATGTGGAATATGAAAGCTCAGAGGAAGCTCTCAAAATTAATCGGAACTCTGAATTCAACTCGGTGTAAAAATTAATCGGATAATCAATGCATTGGGTATGTGGACATGAATGACTGTGATCGATGAGACTACAGTCGAACAGAACGGACAGGAAATAACTCCATAACTTGAACATTTTAGAATCAGAAACCTTTTAAGGACTAGCTTAAATAGTCTATGGAGGCACTGACATAATCCTTGATAAACGGGATGGGCCACCCCTTTGGGAGTTTTCTTTTGCTTCCCTTTCACTTACGTCACATTGCAAAGAGGCTATGCTATCATTACAGAGCTCACTTTAAGGTTTAAACATCCTAAAAAGTTTAACATACTTGACCACATTTTAGCTGCGAGTTCAAATGAGTAAAAAGCCAATGTCTAGGTTTAAGAGTGAGATCCATGCTTTCTCTCTGCTTTGTACAGTCATATTTAAACATTCGCATTTTTCACAATCTTGAACATTGTAGCGAAACGTAGTCACAAAGAATATTAACTATGTCCTTCAAAACAGGTCGAAGCAGCCTTCAACTTGGGCAGCCTTTGGGCAGCATTATGATACAAACTGCCTTTAAAAGCACCCACAGGCCTCTTTACACCTTTTAAAAGCCTTCCCCATTGTTAAAAAGAAATCTGCTCTTACGAGGAGACAAATAAGAGCGGCAGACTCTGGCAACATGAAGGCAGGTGGGTGCAGTACAGGAACGTTTCCATTTTATTAAAGTTATTCATAAATCATTGAGTTAAAGGCCCATTTGGGAGCAAGGTGGATGACGATCAATTTGCACGTCTTATATGTAACTCCTGACACGGTCTGTCAGGACATGCCAAAGCCATTAGCATTTTTCTATAGCATGGTTAGCCACGTAAAGCAAGACAACGCATGAGTGCAAACACTAAATGCTTTAGAATTGATGCTAGTCCTGTAACAACTTGAGTTGACCTGGCTAATCCGTCCAAATTATACACTAGGGATTCTCAACTTGCAGGTTGGGGTCAAAAGGTATGTGGTTGGCGGACAGTTTGTTAAAATATATATTTTGCAGGGGATCCTCTGTTTATGACCGTACCGACATACATTTTGAGGTTACACCAGCATCATGCAGGTCTTGAAAATGTGATGGTTGTACTTGTCTGCGCCTGAATTTTTGGGGTGGAATTATGTTTAATCTTACAATCGAGAAAAGTGAGTCGTGATTTTAGCAAGAATAAGGAAACTCCTGTCCCTGGGTGACCAAAGTTGAGAATCACGGATCAAAATCATTAAAGTACTGTGAAGTACTTAAAAAAATAAAATAAAATAAAAAACTTTATCCACTATCAATGTGGCCGATAACCTGTATTATTCAACCTTTTTTTGAGAGCCTAAGTAAAATAACTGAAATAATGTGGTGTGCACACCCTACTTCTGTATACTCTAACTAGTGTCTGTGACTGTGTTCAATCACAATGAAACTCAGGAAAAATTAAATCTAAAAACATACCTACCACCATTTAAAGTGAGTTCGATTAACCCCAATTAAAGTTCGGATGTTCTAGTAAGTTTTTCCTGCCACTTTTTTTGCTTCTTAGCACAAGGCTGGAGAATGTGTGCTTACAAGGACTGCCGTTGCAAACTGTTAATAATTAAATTGAAAACAAAGTTCACCTTGGTTTCGTTGGACAATAACAAAATCTCCCAAACACATGTGAGAAGGTGTTATGGTTGGACGAGACCAATGTTGAACTTTTGGGTCACGATTCCAAAATGTATTTGGCTGAGGATTGCCATACCAGAGATTCTGTTCGACAGATTACAAGATCATGTAAAATGTCTGATGACATCCTGTGGTTTTAATGATAAAAATATTATTTTAAACCAACCGGTCCCCGCATTCACTCATCAGCCAACTGATACCTTGATGTGTCAAGTGTTGTGAGTTATGTTAACAGAACTTGACCTCAATTAAAAATGGGCTAGCTCTTGAAAACGGTCTATGTGGACTTGTAGGGATGTGGACCAGCAGAAGGGCTTTAATGGAATGCTGACAAAAAGCCAGTTGGAGAGGCAATACATTTGCTGTGAAATCTCAGACGATGGCACATAAATAACGCTTTGGTGCTGTTCCTGACAGAAACTCTAAGTGAAGCCGCATGCTGATCGACTGTATGTCACATCGACCTGGTGAAAGTACATAATGTGAACAGCTGACAGCTTGATCAAGATGAAACCCCAAATGCCTTGAGGCAGAAGCCTCGAGGGCTATGGGAGGTCAAGAGGATGCACGCATGAGCATGACATTCCTCGACTGTGGTGAGCAAGTATCACAGCTAGACATCTTCTCAAAGTGCACCGGTTTCCAGTAATACGATCGGCTGCTGCCCAAACTCCTGCAGAGACCTACTAGGCAAACATAGCAGACATATTGCAGAATAACAATGGTTCACTCTCGTTTCTTTTGTAAAGAAATCTGGTTAGAGTAGCGAAAAAACATATTTGAATATTAATAAACTCCAATGTCTGACATTGGAAGAGACAATACGGTATTAGCGGCATCACTTGTTCTTTTGCAGATCACCAGAAAGAGTCATTTTAGTTTTAAGTTACATATGGTCCCGTTATCTTGTAATCTATTTTTTGTCAAAAAAAATTATTTACTTTAGATTCTACAGTCTGTACTCGAGAGTATCTTTCTCCTCTACTCTATCTATCCAGTCCATATATCATATGTCCATCTATGATAAGGGGTCATCTTTATGGTTCCAGGTATTAATTGGTGATGTTGTGGTATCATTAGTGTAATTTAGTGTGCTATAGATTAATGATGTGTTGGCATTTATCTAGGAACCATTTTATCTTGATGTTAAATTGCAATAAAACAACCTGTATATTTCCAGAATATGGCACTCTACATCTAAACGGGGGATGGGGGTATAGTTGACATCCATTAAGGATATCCATTATTGTCACATAAAAATGAAAGGCAATATTTAGCCTTACTTGCCTCTGGCAACCATATTCGGACAGTAAAAGACAGACCCTGAGGGTAAATAGCAAGCCAGGCAGCAAGGAAAGGCATATAGAAGTCCTCATTCAAGTATCAAAACATAAAAGTGTTGGCTGAAATGATTGCATGACATACTGTTGTCACACATATGTCAATTGATGATCTGTGCTGCCTGAAAATTCCCAACGTTCCACTGCGCCCATTTTCCGCCCTCAACAAAATATTTCCTCTCTACCTCTAACACACCAGCAACGCCGCATATTCAATAACTAATTATGGTAATTCGTTAGACCTCCAGTCAGCAGAGAAGCTACACGGCTGCTACAGTAAAGAGCAGGATTTATGTTGCTTTTGAATGTCACCCAAAGGACGGGAGACTCGCTCATCACTCAGGAAGAACAAACCCCAGACGCTGGAGAAAAGATGAAGGGAATACTGACATACTTCCTTTCTAACTTTGTCACAACCTTGAGCGGGCCTCTTTGTACGCCAAAACAACCGTGCTCGAACTTCGCTATTTGACTCAGGAAGGCTGTAAAATGATATGTACAGTGTGTGCCTAACCTCGCCAAGAACGCGCCAAGCAAACGCTGCCTCGCCTGCTGTCAAACAGCCCCTCGGAGGGCGATAAGCGTCTGTGCTATCAGAGTGCCTGTCTGCCTTATTAGTGCACCTCAGGCACACAGCCCAGCCGGCCATCTGGCACGCTGTGATCTGCTGCCCGGCAAACTCTCTCAGGCCCCATAAAGCACACCGAGACCTCTTTGAAGCATGCAACAAAAGTGCTGACCGAATGAATGAATCATTTTACTACAAATAGATACATATGTATTTATTCTGAAAACTGACTAAAAGAATCTCACATTGACAGTGCAGTCCAACTGCAACACTAAAAAGGGCAAAGGTTACGGCTCAGTTCCATCTATGCCCTTCATAGGGTCTCTATTGCCACCTTGTGGTATAGTTATCATGTTAAAACATTTTTTCCCCCAAACTTGAATCACCCTGGGACTTGGAATTTCCTGTTGTCACAAAGTGAAAATCCACCATTAAGAAAAGTAAGAATAATAAAAACAATGTTCAAAACTAGCATTTGAACACAATGTATGTATAGAGTACCGCATTTTTAAACAGAACTACACATGCTGAAACATCAGAGAGCACTTTGTTGAGAAACTGAGCATGAACATGACAATTGCATACATAAAAATGAACAGAGTAAAATTGAATAGCACAAATGCACAAAATGTCACTTTTGCCACCTCTTCTTTCTAGGAAAAGTACACCATCAATGGTTTGCCTTTTTAGGAAATGAAGGCTGCAGAAAGGTGCAAATGTTTTGAGTTATTATATCTAAAAACGGCAGAGACATTTGTTCAGGTGAAAACACATATGAAAAGTATGGAAGGTGTGTTTGGGAAACACTTTTAGGGCCTGGAAAACAACAAAAGAAAACAGAGGTCAGTACAGCGGTAACCATGGGCATGACGACATATTCTTACGCTGATGTGGAAACTAGTGACTTGCGCATTGATCGCAGAATCTATGTGAATTGAGGACCCCCTGTCATTTTTTTTTTTTTTTACCAGCTATCCACAACCCACCCAAAGTGGGTCTGCCACCCCAGTTTTGGTGCCCACCTACCAGCTGAGAGTATAAGTGACGTAAATAAAGTACATTTGATGAGGAAAAAACAGTGCAGTGTGTCGGAAATGGAATGGATCAGAATGGCTATAAGGTTGCATGCCAGTGTATTTTAATGAGAGTCTTTTGAACAAAGCAAAAGTATTACCAGTATAATCCACTCACAGGGATGTACTTATAAAGCATAGAGCTCCAGTAAGTAGTCTCTGGGCACAATTCCGATATTTCCATTTTTCTCTCCAACCCACCAACCATAGCTCTGGTACTCCTGAAGGAAGACAGATGCAAAAATCATTTATCATGGATGAAGCCAGAAAGAAACGCACACACAATGATATTTTGATCCAGAGTGTAAGGGGTGTGTATTTTGAAGTGGGGTTGGGGGGTAGTTTGGGCCTTACTCACAAATGAGTAGCCTGAACAGCAGATGTGAAGAAACAAACTTGAGAAATAGAAAAACGAATATACTGCACTGTTCAGTAAAGGTTGAGTGAACTACTGTAAGCTCACTCACATTTAAAGCACAAAAGTGTCTACATACACTATCAAGCACTGTAATGTTAAAAAGTAATTACCGGTAGATTAGCTCATTTGTCCCTAAAATTATACAAGTGTTTCAGTATCTTTCAGGAATAGCAACATTTCCCCCCCCACCCTTGTACGGCTATTAAAATAAAATTTAAAGTTAGTTGAAGTCCAGTCAAAAAAAATGTTCCTTGCAAAAATATGTTCTATATGCCCTCATTAGTCTAAACACGGCCTTCTGATGAATATTGTGTTTGTGGAATAAGCATTAAGCAGCAAAATCAACCTGTTTTTATTCCTCTCAGCAGGGGCGGCCATTTTGTGACTTGCAGTCGCCGGAAAATGACATCACTGTTGCTCAGGGCTAAGGTCACGACCGTCACGGCTCACCTGTTGTCTGGGTTTGGTCATGTGACGTTCGCAAGCTGGGCACTGTGATGTCATTTTCAGTCATCAGCAAATGGCAGTCAGAAAAAATGGCCACCTGCTGTGATTAATCAAAACGTGTGAATTTTTCAACTTAATTAATATGCAACGATTGAAATATTAATCAGAATACCTTGCTTAGACCATGTTTCGTGTAAGTGCATAAATTATTGTCAAAATTTTGACTTGACGTCCCCTTTGATGGCATGAACAAATTGTGTCTGACCTTCGAGGTTCCACTGTTTCGACATTACATTGCATTGTTTTCTGCTCACTGTCATTTATCATGACCGCATTTCCCGCTGAGTGCCTGATTATACACACATCAGCCTCAATGTACGTAAAAGCCATCATATATAAATCTGTCACAGCAAGGCAAAAATAAAAGTTCCTCTGAGTGGGTGTCAGCATAGAGGACACAGTGGAGACGCGTCTTGCCTCTTTCTTTGACCAAGAGCCTGACCTCACATCAAAGTCTTGGCCAGGACATGAATCAACACTGAGAACTCCACAAAAGGGGGGATGGAGGGCGGAACAAGAACCTGCACAATGTCTGAAAGCCAGAACTGACCACATCTGTATTCACTTATTGGGTGAATGCTCTTGTGTGTCCAAGAAACAAAACCAAAAAAAAAAAAAAAAATCAAATTTCTTTCTCCACTTGTTTCTGTCGCACCTAATAGCAGTGCCATTGCTCAGTGGATTCAAAGAAAATGTGCGGCTCATTTGGGAATGCTGAGCAACCATTTTTCTTAGTCCAAACATGCAGAGTATTGATTGAAAATATTGGACTTTGTCTACAAGAAGATTAAAAGCGTGTCACAGTGTTCCCAGAAAGCAATCCGATTACTCTGGCGTCATCCCTGTGTAGCTCACAGCTCCTGGGGGTACTATATTTACATGATATCCAGAGACTGCTATTACAGTGCAGCTTCCATCCACAATTTGCAAGGGCGTAATCTAGCTACCGGGATGCGATCACAAAGAATCATTTAACCAGTTGTAATGTCACAATGCATTTGACTATGAAAAAGGTCTTCTTCATAACAGACCAAACAACAAAATAGACTGTAACTGATCACATGAAACCATTCATGGTCTTTTTAAGAGGTGCAATATTTACCCCATGTTCAGATCTACATTATACCAAATTTGACTGTGGTCCGAATAAAAACGTGACCTACATCTGTGCAAAAAAAAAAAAAAAAAAAAGGCCAATCCAGCAGTGAGACAATTTTATATTGCAAAAACAACAAATGCTATTAGTTGCAAAATAAACAATCCTCAATGTCACATCCATTTAATTTGCTTGTCACATGATAAAAGTGACATTTCACCACAAGCCTCTTGGTCATAACATTGCAGAGTGACCCGCGTGTGTGTGTGTGTGTGTGTGTGTGTGTGTGTGTGTGTGTGTGTGCGTGCATAACAACTTCCTGTCACTAGCCTTTGAAAGTGGCAACACCTCATTGTGCAGTTCTGGTTGACAAATAAGTCGTGCTTGAGTGGGTGCGGGACACAACATGAGAGAGACAAACGACTAATGGCACCCTTCACTGGCTACACTCACACACACACACACACACACACACACACACACACACACACACACACACACAGAAGCCTTGGTCAGCAAGTAACGTTGCCCTGTCACTTTAATACCTTACGGCGAAAGAAACAATGAGTGCATCTGTTTACAAGCACATACAGTATTGGGCAGTATGTGTTAAGGGGCGGGTTCATATAGGTTACAGTAACATCACACAGCAGCAGCATTAAGTTAGGACAGTGTTTACATTTTATCAACCATTCCAGCCACTTAAGCGAAGTGAGACGTTACTTTTCTCCATTAGTTTTATGTGCTGTGACTTGAACTGGTGAGGAGGAGGAGGAGGAGGGAGCGGGTGTTTGGTGCAAGCATATCTGGACAAAGCACCCCCCTCCTCAGCCACAGTCGGGCACTATAATCAACACGCAGGCCCAACTGGGGGGTCCTGCAGCTGTACCACTACAGCTTATTTCTGAGCTGAGGAATGGGGGAGGGATGGAAAAGGAGAATGGGGAGGGAGGGTGAGTGGAGCAAGGAGTCGGCTGTCCCTCCTGCTGAAGCCCAGACAGGTTTTATGGTCGCTGCCCTCGCAGTGGGCCACAACCCCCAATACCAAGGTTCCAGCTAATGGCGCTCGCAGTCCAAGAGAAAGGGCAACTTGATTCTTGGCCCTTTTCCGCACACAAAGAGAGGAGTCATAAACAAGCATTTGCCCATTGAGCACTGGAACGTCTGTCTGCTTTGTTTCGTTTGGTTCCTCACCCCAGTGAAAGGGACATTATTCATTTTGTGGATCAACACAAATGATTGACACTGTCATTAAGCATCAAAAGTAACAATTAAGAATTTCAGCTTCATTAAACAAAAACAAAAATCTTTCTTAATTGTAAAAAATAATGTAGTACAATGATTTTTCTTTTTGTTAATTTGTAATTTCTCATTTAGCACAGCAATCACATTTGGGCATGGTCAAGAATAAACCTTGATTTTTAGTCATGTTAAGTAATTTGGTATCATCATGTGTACATTTATTATGGTTACAAATTGCAGTGGTCTAGCACTGTACTCAATTATACTCAACACATTCTATTCAGTTCAGTGACATAAGAAGGGCAATATATTAAAAAACACTTTTGATGCAGGGCACGCCACCATGTTGATACAGCCCTTGGACTGGAGCTCATTAGACTCTCCACATTTACCTAATGCTGTGGGCAATCACTGTACCCGCATGATAAGTAGTCGTAAAATATGATTTTTTTTTTTATTAAATAATTATCAATTTTCATGTAGTATGATTTGTTTACCCTCGGCTCTTTTTGATGATTGCATGCAAAGGCCACTAGATGGCAGACTAGACTACAAAACTAACCTGGCAAGATGTCAGAGGGTCTCGGCAACCCGCATTAAGAATTCACCCAGCTCCCAAGGATAACATTTCACAAATAGGGCACAAACCACTTTCCTTATTTGCCCCCTCGTTTGCAAGCATAAGTGTGGTAGATGTAGCAAAAAGTCCAATCAAGTCATACGAAGGAACAAAAATGCTCTTGTTTTTGCCACCTAATGAAAAAAGTCCTTTCAGTCCTCCACACCCTCTAGCTAGCTGACAAGTCTCGGAAATTGGACGTCCAGCACACGTCCTCGCCTGCTCTGAATAGCGTGTGGGACTGGGCCTTGGCTTCCTGAGAACGCACATTCCTATTTGGCGAGGCGAGCGAGACGTCTGATAGGTGTGTGGGCTGAAGGCAGCAGTGGAAGCGCGCTGAGGCGGCCCAGATGGACGTGATGGAACGGTGAGGCGAGCCAACAGCACTAAAACAGTTTCCGTCGTGACACATCTAATCCTCATCAGAGAGGCAGAGGCTGACTGCGGCCCAGTCGGCCTCCAGCTACAGGCACGGGGCCAGGTGCTGCCAGTAAAAGATATCAAGAACCAGTTTCTCCCAAGGCCTAGGAATAACTTTGTTCAGGTGGTCCTGGCTCAGCAGCACCTCGCTCAATATTGCTGTTGAGTTCATACATTAAGACAAATATCTACATTCTAGGTTTTAGACAAGGCAGGTTTTCATTACCTTGCTCAGTATATAAATGGTGTCTCCACGCTTGAAAGAGAGTTCATCCGGGTGGTCCCCTACACAGTCCCATAAGCCCTGGTAGTAGTTCTGGTAGTCGGTGTTTGTGTCTGGACAGATCATAACATAGGGTGCAAATTAAAGAAATGGAAAATAAGAACATGAAGCATTTCAAGTTGAGTCTTTTACATACTGTATGGCGCAAACAAAAACAGGCCTTATTGTAAAAAGGAAGTTGGTCAAGACGCTTTAGGTCTATTTCTAGGATTTCACACTTCCCCTACAAATGTCACTTCTTCTTTCTTGTACTTTGTGTTGAATCAACAAAAGTGTGACACTTATTGATGAATGTCAAGGGCTACCTGATGGTGTTTTCTTCCATTCACTTTGGCATTTTCTACCTAATACAGAGCAATGATTCAATTGCAAAATGAATGTGTATAAATAAACTTCGCTTGTAATCCTCATAGTGCTGTTTTGTCAGGCCCTAGTTTGTCATCCAAACAGCCCGGCGTGCGTGGCAGGCATGGGCCAATTTTTTAATTGGGCTTTGGGCCTCTTGAGCATGCCCCACCAATTCTCCACCAAGTGACAAGGAAAATGTGCGGCTGGATCACGAAAAAGTATCCAAGCCGCTCTCTTGATCTACGATGCGGCGTCTGCTAGATAGCCAAAAAGTTTATTTCACTTGTAAAGTTTTATCATGAATCACAAATGATTTGTGTTGTCTCAGCAATTTCAAACTGCCGTGGGAAGACAAATATGGAATTGTGGAAAATCACATCAGACGAGAGTACTCGACAAAGCCCAACATTTTTTTTTCTCTTATAAAACTGCCACTGTGATCAGTTTTTGTATTTCGTGAAAGTTGCTACCATAACATCCACATCAAATATCAAGTGCTGTCTCTGTGTGGCACTGGATATTTTTACCTGGGAGCACTTCATAGATGTCTGTATCCGGTGCAAGTCCCACATCATCGTACATTAGCTGTTCCTCCTCCTCCTCCTTAACCACCTCTTCCTCCTCTTCTTCTTCTTCTTGGATGATACCAGACTGATCTATAGACATGTTTGGAGAATATAACTTCAAAGAATCCGTTGTGGCTGCTGCTGACAACATAATTAGTATTAGTAATACTGTAGTAGTCACAGTAGTAGTACTATGGCAAACCTTTCAAAACAAGGTCTATCCATTTCACCCACTCCTTCGCCTCTTTCGCCGATGACGCACAAAACTAATGAAAGGACAGGCAAAAATATGGCAGTCTGAGACAAATTATTCACGTAGCACGGAACATAAACAAACAGTGCATTCATAATTCACAAAAATGCTCCACAAGCAGCATGTTTTCATGTTCAAACATACACATTTTAATAAATATGTATGCAAGGCTGAGACATTGAGAAAGCAGCACTGTCAAGTCAATGAATATGTTCCCAGAAGAAAAATGTAATACATGCACACACGCACACACATATTGAGGAAAAAAGAGACAGGAAGTGTACAGTACCTGATAGTCTCGCTTGTCAGGAGCTGAGACTTCAAAACAAAAGTCCTTCTTTGCGTCTTTCCGTAAGTTGGTGTTCATTTTGACATTGTAGCCATCGATGCTGAACTCACCTTTCTGCTGTTTGTCTGTCACATGGCAACAACATCACTGTCAACATCCCAGAACAACATCCAGTCTACAGTTCACTCTTAATTAGACAAGAACATAGAATGACACCAATACCTTTCTCGTGGCCATAATAGTAGAAGGTCCGATAGCTAAGAGCGCACCATCTCTTCTGCCACTCCTGGCCAAAAAAACTGTGGTCTGTCACAAAGATAAAACAACTTAGCATGAAATAACTGACGATGCTTTTTGTCCAATGCAATAATTAATGAATGAGAAATTGTGTGACAAGGTCCATGGCAAACTGCATTCATGAACAGGTCATGACATGAATAATTCAATGAAATTCCAAAATAAGAGCTGGCATGTGATGTTTTGGCTGCTTTAGTTCTAGTTTGATCAAAATATTCCAAACAGCTCTCCATATAGAGCATGCAGATCTACACAACTACAAACCATCCATTTCCCATAGCACTTGAGAGGTGCTGTAAGAAACGAGAGGTGAGTTACACCCTGGACTGGTCGACAATCAATCACAGGGACCAAACAGACAAATAAGCATTCACACTTCTTGACCATTTAAAGCTTTATGTAGACCTAATTCGTGTTTTTGGAATCTAAATTTATATCGAGCCTACATTGCTGTTTTAAAAAATAAAAAAATACATGTTTCACATGTGTATTCCATCAGCAGACCACACACCCTTCCTGCGTTTCTCCAGGTATCCTGACATGAGAATAGACTGCAGGTCTTGCGCTGCCATTGGTGGACACTGGTGGGAACCTGAAAGAGAGATATGAGCATTGAAAACTTTTCCCGACTAAAATAGCAACAGATGGGATTTAACTTCTCGCTGATATCCACAATCAGGTGATGGTTGTCAAAAAGTTGTGGCGCATCCACTGGGAAACTTTTTGCCTCAACACATGCACTGTGCAACTTCAATGCAAATGTTCAACTGCTGTGTCATAGTTGCTTTGTGGGAAAGAGATGCCATAAAAGTGCCAGCTGCTTTATTAGACAAACTCCCAGTCTCCTGAATCGCCACTTTACTTGGACTTCCCTGACACTTTATTTTGAAAGGCAAAGAGACGTCCATCATTGGCCAAATGATTAGGTACACCTACATAAGCCAATGAGATGTAATGTCTCGATTGTCGACAATATGTCCCAAGAGTTGGGTATAGTAGCCAGAAATCATATTCAAGTACCGGTAGGTGTAATTTTACTGTAGAATAATAACTCCAAGAAAAAAAAAAAGCATTCTTAATAATTACAGTCATCCCTGTCCATTTCACAGTTCACTTTTTGTGGGTTTACAAATTTAACATATTCAATTTCAAATCACGGACTTTTTGCTAAATCACAGGATTTTGCGTTGATCATTTTTCCACATTGACTATTACTCCAGTGAGCCAGGAGAAAAAGAATATTTGGGATAATTTCACAATTTAAAAAAGAAGACACCGTCAAGAGCAATGTGACTACTGCAAGGCAGAACTGGACTATACCTCTACGATAAAATATACCTTGTTAGCTAATTTAATAACCAACTATAGCTAGTTATTTTTTCGATAATCACGCTGCTCTACTCTGACGTGTTTTCTCAACTTCGAAATGGAAACTCTTGGGTTCTCGCTGAAATGTACATGTTTTTAAGGCAAATACAGGACAATGTATGGTATAAGCTGTTTTGCCTGCGGTGTGCCACTTTTGACTGAAAGTCGTATCCCGTTGTGTCTACCATGCTTCACTCAAATGAATCAATTGGAAACGTCATGTGCAGTCATGTGACTGGTACCGTTTGATTTTTGAAACGGAGTCAAATTCAAGTGGTTCAGTTCGATTAGTGAAACGGTCACATGACACAGCACTCGAGGCAGAAGTCTCTACAATGAACCAAAACAAACAGATTGCATGGGCAATAATCGCGGTCTGCCACGATTGACTATTCTTCGAAGAAATTACCTTATCAATTAGTCTATTGATTAATCAAATTATCTGATTACATTTTACTTTACATTCAAGTGTTTTATAAAACGGACAGCATGTTGTTAGACTGGTTAGCACGTCTGCCTCACGGTGCAGAGGTCAAGAGAGTTCGAATCCGGCCCCAGCCTTCCTGCGTGGCGCAATCCATGTTCTCCCTATGCCTGGGTGGGTTTCCTCCCACGTTCCAATCGCATGCATGGTAAATTGAGTGAACACTCTTAGTATTATTTTGTTATTTTATGTTAAATGTTCTGTAAAGTGCTTTGTCCCAGCTGAAGCTGTTGTAAAAGTGCTATATAGATAAATATGTATTTTATTGTATTAATTGCCGCTTGGTGTGATTGCGAACCTGAATGGTTGTTTATCCGTGCCCTGCAATTGGCTGGCAGGGCACGGGCTTCTTTCTTAAACATACTAGAGTAAAGATCATGCATTGAAAGGCACAGAGGGTTAAATCTGCATTTGGTAATGTTTTTCTCAGACTTGGTACTTCAGTGTGTCTCTGAGCAATAAAACACCCTTGTGCAGTAAAACAGGTGGCAGGAAAAGCAGTTACGCTCTCAAATGTCTTCCCAAAGTGTGTTGCCAAGTTACAGTTGGAATGTCTCTTTCACTGTGACACTCCAACTCACATTGTTTCAGGGAAAGACTTGCTCACAAGTGACACTTTAGTAAATGGCTCGTTCAGAGCGCTTTTACCCTCATAGGGCTCTTCCTCCCTGTCAGTGCGCTCAGACTGCAGTGAGCCACCGTCATTGTTGCTGCTGTCCACCTCCTCCTCATCGTCACTTGACTCCTCTCCACCTGAAGGAGGACCAACGGTCAATATGATGGCACAACAGAGGAGAAAGCTGCCCATGTCATTGTTCTTGTTATAAAGCAGAGGTGTCAAACTTGTTTTTATTGCGTTCCACGTGGTAGTTATGGTTGCCCTCAGGGGCCCAGTGATAATGGGGAAACCACATAAATGTACTGTATAATCGCTAGGGGTTGTAACGGTAAACCAAAAATAACAGCACCTTGTTAAAGGTTCATGGGTCGCCATAATTCACCACATCCTGGATGCCAAGTTGTAGTTTGTTTGTTTACCAACAAGGTGTGTGGCTAGAACGCAAAGCAGTGGCACTTCTTGTCTCTCATCTAATAAACTTTCTGGGATCACGAATAATCATATTGTATTTCAGAACTGCCCCTGCCCCTATAGACCTTTTCACGATGGCTATCCTGGTAGTAGACAACAGCATGCTACCCATTTCAGTGTCCAAAGAGTACTGTATGTCTATGCCAATAATCTAAGGCAGTGATTCCCAACCAGTGTCCCAGGGCACATTTAGTGTGCCGTGAGAGCGCTAACGGTGTGCTGCAGGAACTTTTCAAATGTCACTTAATTGGTTAGAAAATTATTAATTAATAACAAATAATGTATATTTGTTCATCTACCTATCCCGGCAAGTCATAGTGACAGAAAGAAAAAAAAAAGGATGATCTTCTATTGGATGGCAAAAAGTATTAAATTGACATATGTATCCTTTTTTGTGACAATTTTGATTGGTGGTGTGCTGTACGAGTTCTCAAACTTAAAATATGTGTCTTAGCTTAGTAAAGGTTGAGAATCACTGATCTAAGCAACAAAAAAGTCAATTAATTAGCCAGTCCCTTAATGATCGTGTTAAGCACATCTGAATTTCCACCACGTTTATTTTGAATCCACTTATGTGTTGTAATGTGAATTACAACTGGTGTTCCATCTCCCCTCCGAGCAATTTACCTCACATAAAATCTTGTTTTTGAATGACACTTCACACATTCAAATTATAGTGGTAGTCAATTGTTCTGAGTTGGTTAAATGACATGTTTGTTTACTCGGGGTGCCATTGGAGAGTGCTAAATCTTCTGCCACCTGGAAGTATGCCTAACTCATGGCATCTGTCTATCGCTTTGAACAGAACTCAAGGAAAAGCTACTGCAAGCTGTCCCAGACCAAATCAAATGATGAAGAGTGTCTAGCAAACGGGCCTGTAGTTTGACAGCAGTGTTATGGAGGAAAAGGAAAGTGTCTTCATTAGCCTAAAAATATTTTTATGCAACTTCACAACAACAAAATGCATATTATCAAACAGAGTGTGACTAAATGGGTGTGTGATGACATAATATTTGTAAACATAACAATGCAGAATATTTTAACAACAAAAATAACTTACTTTTTTCCTTGAAATCATGTGGAAAGCTGTGGTGAAGAAAGTAGTCATAATATTAGTATCAAAGACGAATACAGTACAGTATACTGTATATGTATACAGCCAGGGGGTCGGCGGGCGATCGGACAAACACACAGGAGGCAGCCTACCCCAATTTGACCTCTTTAATCCGTTTAATGAATGCTTCTCTCTTATCTTTTGCCTTTTTGCTCAGATTTTCCCCTTTCAAGCCATCTCTGAGGAAGGTCTCAAGGTCTAAACATTAAGAGAAATAATAATTCAAATATTAGGTTTAAAAATGTAAAATTGAACACAGGTGTGCGTTCGAAGAGACAGGGAAAAAGTAACAGCAAGTCATCATCCATGTTAAAGCCTTTGCTTCCTCTTTTTAGAAGCAGCCAGTGGATAATTCGTTTTAGCCTCAAGTTACAAAAGAACAACATTTTAAAAAAGAAAAAAAGGATTGTCAAGCGAGTTGTTTTTAATGTGTATTTTACCTGAAATGAGCGTGGTTAGTTCCTCGGGAGCGGCTCGCATATTTGCTGTGTTGATTTTGAGCAAGAGTCCAGCCGGACACAAAGGTCACGTGATGCGGAAGTAATGGCGAGACGAGTGGCTCGCGTGCATAACGCGGAAGTGACCCGTGCATTATTTATTAGCGGGCCTGCACACAAACGCACACACACACACGCACACGCACACACGCACGCACGCGCTATGTCGTTTATGGGCGCAGCGGCCTTTCTGTGTATGCAGACGATATACGAGACAGCTACTGCCTACTTGATGCTTTAATGGGGCTTGACGCACTATTAAAGTCAGAGCGCAATAGTGTTGTCATATTTTACATCGATTCTTCATAATATCACACTAGGCTCCTGGCACATGTCACAAACTATGGAGTGGGAGGGGAATGTTTAGTTTATGATGTATTTGTCAACATTGTAAATCCAAACAGGGATTATTGATAGGAAGAAAGGTGTCTCCTCTTTTGAGAGCAGTTACAGCCCCCTCACAGTACCAACAAACTGCTGTACATAGTTTACACCACTGTAAATCTGAAAGACATTTTTTTTTAATCTCTTGGTTATACCCCCTTCATCGATACAAGAGAAAACCAAATCAATTTTTTGATATCATGCCACAGCAAAATGCATTGATTTTACAGAATTTGTATCCTTTTAGTCTACATTCACGGCATCCTCAACAGAGCTCAGTGCCTCACAGAGGTACCATATGTATGAAATAATAATGTTCCTTTTTTAGGTCGCAGGACAGCAGGTTGGAATAGTGATTAGCACATCTCCCTTACAGTTGAGAGGTCCCAGGTTTGAATCTCGTCAAGCAGTTTGCATGCTCGGGTTGATTTTCTGGTAGTGCTGCTTCCTCCCACATTCCAAAAACATGCATGTCGAGTTCATGAAGAGTCCAAATTGCCCGTAGAATGCTCATTTGTCTGTATTTGTCCTGCAGTTGGCTGGTGACCAGTCATAGGAGTACCCCCACCTCTCTGAAGGTCAGCTGGAATAGGTTCAAGATCATCCATTACCCCAATGAGGCAAGTATTTATTATTGTACAGTAGTCGTAGTTTATAGAGGAAGAAGAGTGCTGACTCAATCTAAGTGGAGTTTATATTAGTATTTTATTCATTATGACATTACATGAGAGAAAAAGAGCAAATTCTCTGAGTTTCTTTTAAATCCAGGCTGAGATTTTTTCCAGGTTTTGTATTGAATTTTATTGAGCGCCTCAAATTGAAAAACAAATGTGTTTGTCCTGCTGCACACAAGAAACACAGTTCTCTGTTGTACTGTATTGCTTTGTAGGAGTGTCAGTCATTCATGAATCAATTTATGACACTCCCCATTCATCGCACAGTCCAAGTGAAGAGTCAGTGTCTTTGAACTAATGTCACTGTGACCTAAACGCCATTCCACTGATGTATGCATGTGATGGATTAAGTTGTGCTCAAACCCTTGGACTTTGTTAGTTAGCTTGTTGTTCATTTAATGCAATATGGATGAATCAGACTGTACAAAAATCTTTCATTGTCAGATACGGTTTAGGTTTATCTTCAAATCCTCTGTGTGCATTAAAAAACTATGACCCCCTCCTGACCCGGTAGTAGTTCCTCCCAGCGTGGAGAGGAAAGGAGAGCCAGCTTGACCTTTCACCTGTGTATGTGTGTGCGTGTGTGTGCGTGTGTGTGTGCAGGAAAATCCATTGGCATACTTTTTGCTTCCTCAAAAGACACAGCCTTCTTTTGAATAGTTGCTTATCCACAAATAGTCATACTTTGTGCATATTATTACATAATCCTACTTACACAGTGGCGCCTTGATGCAGAAATTGATTTTTTGTGATTATGCTAGTTATTCAAAGCACCCAGATGTTCAAATCATCTTTCCCTATATATTGAATGGAAATACCATAATCCATTCCAGTACTTAAAAAAAAAAAACACCAAGGGTAATATTTGTAACATGTTTTAAAAAAAATACAACTCGACAATATTTTACTTAAGGAAAACATACAATGTTAATGTAATTAAATTGAATCGAAAGAATTAAACACGTTTGTGCATCATGATAATTCAATGGGCATTGTGTTGCTCTTCCTGGTGTATGCCTAGGCCACCAGAGACCAGTAGAATAAGTAAAAAAGTACTTCATGTAGTTTTGACAATGAAGCACAAAGATAGCCATACAATAAAGTAATTTTTTTTGGATAAATATGTTCCTGTGAGTATTGTTGTAAGCTCTCTCTGCTTGTGTTGCTACCACTTGTGTTCAAATGTAACTCGTTTCATCGTTAACAATTACAGCAACACTTATGATAGTTTCATTAGCCTGTCTATGGCATTTGGCAGTATGTGTTAGCATCAAGTTAGCAGACTTAATAAGGCAAAGTTGTGTAGTTTGGTTAAACATCACGACTTGTCAGTCTCTTTGTCTTATTTTTAGTTTTGAAGTCAACCTTAACTTGAAGTGGCAATGAACAGCTTGAAGCATGCACTTTGCCTCTTTTTTGTAGAATTGTTCATTATCTGTGTGTGTGTGTGTGTGTGTGTGTGTGTGTGTGTGTGTGTGTGTGTGTGTGTGTGTGTGTGTGTGTGTGTGTATGAATGTTACAATGTAGCACAATAATAATGCAAAACGGCTGTGTCATTTGAACCAACGCCAGCTCAATAGTTTCAACATTTTAAATTTGAAAATAGAGAAGCACTAAATCCTTCCTCTGGCTTCATATTCTCTCATTTTAGTATGTAAGTAGGATTTCTAAAATAATGCATTTGAATTTGAAAATTAAGCTAATAATATAAAAACTAAATATTTTCACTTCCCTTGTTTACAATTTTAGAAGAAGCATCAGCTTTTAATTAATTACCAAGTATTGTTGACCATTAAAGAAGTTTTGGCGAACCACAGTGGTGCAAGCATACTTAATTCAAAGAAGGCATTACACGGCGAAAAAGCCAATAAACAAGCACCATTACTGCTGTGAGTTTTATTGGCAATGAATTTTAATTAGAGAAGGCAGAAAAGTTGTAGCTTTTGCCCTTCTTGACTCCAAGCATGCAGGCGAATCTCACCATAAATCGTCTTTTTTCTTTCTTTGAACATCCAGAAGCTTAAACTGCACCATCTATTAGGAAACATTCTGAGTTTTTTCTGTGAGACCTTTGAAAAGATGTTTTAAATATTCAAACATAAAAAATAGTTTTAAACAAACATTCACAAATTAATTAGGAAAATGAAAGTTGATTTCAATTGATATGATTTATTTCCTGAAAAAAAATATTCTTCTTGACAAATAGCCTGTATGTATACAAATCAAATACCCGAAGTCCATGTCAGCTGTCGTTTTTGTTTTTCTTCACCTTATTTATGTCATTTATGACATAACTTTCCATGACAATAAACACTTTATAGAAAATTCATGTGAAACCAAAACCCCTTCAATAGCTCAAATTGTGCAAGTCCACAGTTGTGTTTCTGAGAAAAGCTCCAAAGTTTCAGGTGATAAAGGCCGTGGACTTTGGGTCGAATTGGACCAGTTTGGGGAGAACGAGGAGGGACATAAGTAAAGTTCCGGCAAAGAGTCGTCCGTGCCTGCGGAGTGATCATTGTCCGGACCTATTGTTAACGCAAAGATGGGAGCCGTGCAGTTCGTGTTCGGAGGAGCTTTCACATTTTTCTCACTTGTGCACAAAGTCGAATCATTGTGGCCATTGTGGCTATTAGGACAGGGTTGTGAATCGAAAGTATTTTGCTGGAAGTACCTCACCCCCTTGGGAGGAAGCGCCTGTGCCTCCTCTTCCAAAAAGTCCTCCGCGTATTTGCTTTCGCTCGCCCGGTTCTCCTTGCAGTGAGTTTGTCTTTTGTGCTTCATCCTGCGGTTCTGGAACCACACTTTCACCTGCTTCTCGCTTAAATCCAACGAGGAGGCTATCTCCAATCGCCTGGGTCTGCACAGGTACTTGTTGAAGTGGAACTCTTTCTCCAGCTCCAAAAGTTGCGTGTTGGTGTACGCCGTCCTCAACCCCCTGCAGGACGTGGCGGGACAACCGCCCTCGTTTATTAACTCTGGTGAAGCTGAAACAAAAGGATAAAAAAAAGTACAATTGTGACCTGGAAAATGTGCATGAGGTGAAAGTTGCGGTGATGCAACAGAAGATTTACGACAGAATGACATGCGTAGATTAATGCCAGATGCACAATCCATCACTATTTAAAGACATGATTTAAAGTACATATCATGCACGCGGGTTAAAAAAAACTCCCACGTAAGGTCTGTGCTACAGGCGTGCAGATAACATGGAAGTTATTAACATGGGAGTTATCAATCATGTTGTCTCGCCTTGCAGTGGAGGAGAGCCTGCAGGAGTCTGTTGTTTCTTGGTGCTTTTTTTCCCTTTCATCCACGCGTACTGCGCGGCGACGGAAGGTGCTGCGGCATGCTGTGGGCTTCTAGAGCCCCTCGCCAGCTGGTCCCGCGAAGGACGAGAAGGAATCAGCGTCGAGTTGTTGATGGATGCGATCTGGAACGCATCGCGGACGTGGAGGGATGTCAGGCACTCAGCGAGCGATGGCTGGCTGTTGATAAAACCACTTTCTAGGCCAAATGCGTAATTCATCTCCTCCTCCTCCTTCTTCTTCTTCTCGGTTTCGGACGAGCCGCTTTTGGGAGATGAGTCATTTAAAACTCGTGAAATTAATTATACACCGCTAAAGTGGACAGAGTCGTTCGGGGATTTCTATAATCCAAGAACTGTTGCTTTCCAAAAGACATGGCTCGGAATCAGAGCGTCCGACGTGTCACATGATTGCATCCACCCAATGACAATTTGGCGTTTTTAATCAAAAGAGGCCACTGTCCCTCCTTGTGATTGATTGGGAGAGAGAGGAGGGGTAACGCCTCATTGCGCGCGTCTGTGCTGCTCTATTTACACACCTCCCTTATAAACAGGTTTTTAGGAGAATAGAACGTCTACGCAGACGCCTACATGCTCAACGTGACATCCCCACTGCATTTCCAACGTGTATACATGAAGATAGATAGATAGATAGATAGATAGATAGATAGATAGATAGATAGATAGATAGATAGATAGATAGATAGATAGATAGATAGATAGATAGACTACAATGCAAAAATGTGCACCATGCAGGTCCAATTATGTGCCCTCCCCTCCCCCAATATACACTTAGGGAGAGAGAAAGAGAGAGAGAGAGAGAGAGAGAGAGCGAGAGAGAGAGAGCGAGAGAGAGGGACTAAGGGGATCATGCATGTTCACGAGGATATATTTGCTATAAATCGAGTTTGAAATTATCTAGATTGTGTTTTAACACACTTCGACAAAAATGAAATGTTTTAATTAGAATTACTTTCCATCATTTTAGGGGGTTTAGACGGCAAAGAGTCAGTGGGGGGAAAGCAAAATTGGAGGAATAGCAAGACCAGAATGAAGTCAGAATATTACAAAATAAGGTAGTAAATTTATGAGGGGGAAAAAGCAACATTACAAGAATGAAGTTATTCACAAAACAAAGTTCATAAAGTCACAATTTAAAAAAAAAAAAAAGTAAGCAAAAGAAGCCATAACTTAACAAATTGTAATGTTACATGGAAAAGTTATAAATAAGGAAAAGGCATCATATTACAAGAAGAAGAACTTAATGGCGAAGTGTAAAGAAATAAGTCGGAATTTTACAAGGACAAATGCTATAAAAAGAAAGTTGATATTTTAAGAAAAAGACGTAATGTTATATGGAAAAAAATGTGCTTGCTGCAAAATGCTTCCAGAAAAGAAAAAAAAATCAGGCTGCAACATTTTACTAGGAAAAAGTCCTAACCTGCCATCTTCAACGTTTTATCTAAATGCAGGGGGGAAAAAAATCATGATGTTCATATTACGATTTAACTATTGTAAAATATGACTTCATTCACCCTGGAGTCTTTTCTAAATTACCCTAAATGTGCCCCCTTCCCCCGCTTTGTTCTGCACACTGTCATGTATTTGAGACGTTCTTACAGGGTTTCATCGTCACGTGACTATACCCTTCCCCCAACACATACAGTTTACATGTACACACAGCACATGCATAGACGCGCAGAAGGTGGAATGACATTATTTGGATTTGGGGTGTATTTCTACACAAATTTGTAAATGCAATCCAATTTCACTTGCCCTTCTAAGAAATGTGTCCATCATTTCCAAGTGTGCACCCTGTAATATTTCACCTCCACACTTCCAGAATCTGTCCGTGCTTTTATAGCATTGTGGTGCTCAGTAGTGTAGCCTACTCGAGCTAAATGTGAGGCAGAGGAAGGGGGAAAAAAGTGCAGGAAGGATGTGAGGGCTGTTTATTGCACGGCTCTAAACAAAGAAGCCTGCATGTGATCAATCTTACTCGCTCAACGCCGTGACAGCTCTGTGCCCCAAGAACACATTTAAAGCATCTAACACTTCCTAACATCAGGTTGTGACCCGCAGAAACAAACAGGAGGACGACCGGTCTCCACTCGACATGCGAATAAGGATTGAAAAGGTGATTTTTTTTTTTGTGTTCATCATTTTTTTTACATAAGAAGCAAAAGTCTGTCTCAACACAAATTGATGTGGGGGGCACATTTTTTCGTTCGCAACGAGGACTACGGTGATAGAAAAAAAATAATAACTGGATTCGAAAAGTGATTTTTGAACGAATGGAACAGCATTATATTGTTCGTGGAGGTGAGTGGGTGTTGGCATTCCCATTCACTCTTTTTTTTAAATGCAGTTCATTCGCAGCATCTTTGTGTCCACCCTTGTCTAAAATAATCTAGATAATTTACACCTAGCGGTGCCATGTATCTCGAGTATGTTATGAATTCTACATCGAATGCACTTTAAATTGTGGATGAAAATGTCTCATAATGCCATATATTGACAATACAGTTAAAATATATTAATCAAGCCTGTGGAACATTTAATATTATGTAACGTTAATAACGCAGTATTACCAAAAACAATGACAAAAATATGTTTTGAACTGGACATATAGAAGGAACCATTTTTTCATGCACTTGAGAATGGACAAATGGATTTCGATTGTATATGAATTTGTGGGTTTGTTGTAGGAGGTGTGACATATTTCCCGTCTGTTCCCAAACACCAGGAGACATCCGGGAAGCAACCAGGCCAACGTCACCCATTGGAATCTTGTCAACGAAAAATATTCATGTGGATATTTTGTAAAGTCTGTGTGATCCATTTCAGTGGAAGATTAAAATTGCAAAAACAACACCAGGGTATCCCATTCGTCCTTCAGATCATTTTACTGGATTATTTACAGGCTTGTTTACGAAGTGTGACATTGTGAGGCGTGATTGAGGTTGTGAGTTACAATAAGCAGATATATGCTTTTGCAGCTTTAACAGCATAATTCAAAGCATATCGTGCCTGAGAGGGAAAATAAAGTAAGACGGGGGATTATTCAAAATGGAAAACAATATGTGGCTGCGTGCATGAAGTGTGCTTGCGTGTGTGTGTGTGTGTGTGTGTGTGTGTGTGTGTGTGTGTGTGTGTGTCAGTCAATTTCCAGCAGCTCAAGGGGTTTAGACTTGGTTTTTATCATTGTTGTTGTTGTTGTTTTTTTAACACATGCTTAACTTTGGAGCTCTTTATGATGACTGCAAACTACAAACGTACATGGCGGATGCAGTTTTCACATTCACTTATTATTCAATACATATCATTGATGAACAAATCAAAACATTTTAACTGTAATATTGCTCTAATGCTGACGTAAAGGTATGGTTATGTGTTACTTCCAACAAAATTGGAATTGATCCCAGTAAAACACACAGTAAAATGTAAACAATGACCAGTTAAACAAAATCTATGAGGGAATTGGGATGTTGCTTACACTTCACGTTGTTTACATTTCTTAAAGGTTTTTTTTTTCCCTATGGAAATAGAAAGAGGTCCCAAATGAAACGGCTGTGATCAAGCTAACCCCAAATGAAACTTAAAGAAAAGAAAATCAGTGACCCTTTGATGATGTATGACGTAGGAGCGACAATACAGTAAATGAAGAGAGCAAGGTTTGATGTGAAGTTTCATGCATCACATTTTTAAGCATTATTTTAACAACATGTATAAAAAAAAAAAAAAAGTTACACCACTCTGGTAAAACAAATAAGATACACATTGATGTGGTATGCGTTGGGTCAGGAGCTGTTTTTTATCAACTTAAAAAACAACAAATTATGTATACTGGTACTCACCATTAAATTTGATGACACTTGGCAGTGCCGAAGCAGGATTGCTCTGTATTCCTGGGAAGTGAGTCTCGTCACAAACACGGCTTACATTGCAGCGTCATTGTTCATCATAACTGAAGTCAGTCTCTGTAGTTACATTGTACCGAGCAGCCAGGACAGAGGGTACCACTTTCCTTTCGTAAGTTTCATTCCTCGTTCCATGATTATAATCACACATTCCCCCTTTGGTGTCACTCCTACACACTTCTGTTTTGGGGTTATCATGACACTTAAAAGGGCCAATAAAAAGCAAAAGTATTATTTTAGATGCTCACTCATCCAAAGGCACGCAAGACTTTACTACTACATCTGCTGGAGCGTGATGTCACACATGATGATGCTTTCACCTTTTGTCCAACTTTGGGAGCCCTATTTTTCCAGAAAACTTTAATTGAATTTCAAATTGCACCACTTTAGAAGAATCGACTCTCACAACTGGATTCATAGAACTGCAAGATCTGTTTGAAATGGTCATGCTGTCTTCGGGCAGTAGGCAGGGGACACCCTGAACCGGTTGCCAGCCAATTGCAGGGCACACAGAAACGAAAAACCATCCACGCTCACACACACGCCTAGGGGCAATTTTTGAGTGTTCAATCAGCCTGCCATGCATGTTTTTAGAATGTGGGAGGAAACTGGAGTACCCGGAGAAAACCCACGCAGGCCCGGGGAGAACATGCAAACTCAATACAGGGAGGCAGGAGCTGGAATTGAACTCTGCACTGTGAGGTCGACACGCTAACCAGTGGACCACCGGGCCACCCTAACTTGCCAGGAGTTGAACCTATCGTCTACTGATCCGTAATCAGATGCGTTAGCCATTGTGCCACAAGCTCCACATGGTGTATTATTTATTTATTTATTTTGCACCATGAATTTGACACCACATTGTAAGAGTACCACTGGTGGTAAGAGTACTACTGGTGGTACTCTTACCACACTTTGAGTATCACTGTACTAATGTTATATTCACTTTGAAGTGTCAGACTGAGTCAGTTGGTGGGAGGGAAATTGGATACCTCCCAGAAGTTAGTGGGCTCTACATTGGCTCATGTACCAAATTTAACGACACCATCACAATGGAGGTCCTAAAAGGTGATGGCCAACACATTGTATGCTCAACCCATGTGTTGTACAGACTCTCACGGGGCTTATTCACCTGCAGTGATGTTATTTCATGTCATGCAGTACTTATCTCTGCTGATTTAAATAAAGGTTTTGTGAATGCTGTTTTTGAAGCAAATACATAGCTTCATCAGAAACGAAGCCAAACAAACACTGGACAAAAATGCCATATAAGTCCAACAAGTAAGTTCAGTGTCTACTTTGGCTTTGATCAGAAAGGATGACAAGGATTGTACAGTAGATAAATGGACTCCCACCTGCTCAATACTTGACTCCCACTTCCAGGATCTTTCAGGGCTGCTGTCAAAGAGCTTTGATGAACTGGCCAAGGGCAGAGAAGGTCATCACCAGCAACATCTTGATAAATTTTGTGCTGTTTTTTTCCCCTGCATAGCCACTATGATCAAGGGCTGTTCCAGAAAAACTTACTAAATGTCTAAATGATGAAAATTGAACGTTACCATCACCTCAAGTCATGCTGTAAGTACAGCAGAGAGACTACTGGGAGGGGGTGATAATGAGGTCGGCAAATTTTGACTCCATGTTCATTGCATACGAGTATCAATGTGCTTTATGATTCCCATTTAAAATATCAAATATGTTTGTCTTATTTCTCAGAAATACTGTATACTATCTGGATGTCTTGTGTTAGTCATAACATTCACAGATTTTTAACAATCCCTTGTCCAGGAGGTTGAGTGAACCGTAATTTAATGACACAAATACATGTCATTACATCACATGATTCGTAGTGATTCCCAACCACCAGTGTGACAAGAGAGCGATCTTTGATGTCACTTAGTTGCTCCAAAAATGATTGTTTACTACAAATAATCTGTCTTTTTTCATCTATCTATGCCAGGATGTACAGTGACAAGCAGAACAATTCAATTCTCTTCCACCAGATGGCAAAAGGCACAATGAAGTTGTGCATCCATCTGTTGCCTTCATACAACAGAATGTAAGCTTTGTATTTGTCCAAACAAAGCAGATGTCACATTGACTAAAAACAATTAGGAGTAAATTCAGACCAGATCATCATAACATACTCTTTTTTTTTGATGGCTGGAGATTTTTGTGTTTGGTGTTTTGTCATAGGCTGTGTTCAGAATCATACAGTCATTCCCGAGACCCTATTTGGGATTCTCACTGACTATGATGTAATGACATCATTGCGGTCGCATAATTACCATGGACCATATCACCGTAATCTGATTTTACTTAGAAATAAATCTTGAACACATAAATTAATCTGAATGATATTTTTAAAAAATAAAGTGTGTTTTACGAAACTCATGAAAATAACGCAATACTTCTGGTTGGCTTTCACACTGGCAAGAGATCAAATCATAACACATTTGACCCATTTTTTGTTGTCTGATGATAACAAGTTTGAACTTCTTGGTCATAATTTCAAAAAGTACACTGCTCATTACCAAAAAAAAAAAAAAAAACCATACCTTCACTGACGTATTCAAGTGGCAGCATCATGCTTTGCTGTTGTTTTTCTTCAGCTGGAACCGGGGCCTTTGTGAAAGTTGAGGGAATTATAAACAGTTCCAAATACCAGTCAGTGTTCGCACAAAAGCACATTTATTTGAAGTCAATCAAAGGCACTTTTAAATGAGTTTGAATGTGATCAGTTAATTCTGAACACAGCCGGATCCTGGTTATAAGAGAGTGTGTATACTTACGCAACCACAATATCACCGTTATTTTATTTTTACTTCCCCTCTGAAAATGTGTCTTTTTAATTATTCAATTGAATTGTACAGCTTATAGGTCACGGTAATGGTGTGAAATGTTTTGTAATGATTTAAATTGGCATACCTCTTTCTTTATGTGTTGCAATATTGTCAGTTTATGTTAAATGTTCTGTAAAGCGCTTTGTTACAGTTACAGCTGTTGTGAAAGCACTATATAAATAATTATGTACAGTATTGTATTTATCATGGGCTAATTCCATTTATCATATCATAAAAAACACTTCAAGAGGGGTGCGTGGACTTTTTTATACATTGTGGAGATATAAGTGGCCAACACATCGTTAAATTTTTCTGCATGCGGCCCTCAAATAAAAAGGTTTGCACATCCTTGCTCAAAACGCTCTGAAATGTTTAGACTCCATGATGTCCCCGAAAGAGTCATTCAGCGAAAAAAAAAAAATCAAAACCGTAACCAATCGCAGTGAGCCGCTGCCGCCACCTGCTGGCCGTTTCGACGCAGCGGGACTGAGCACAACCCAAAATATTCGTGCAGAAATGTTGTCTTGTGCTTTTAATTCCGTCGAAAAAATAAATCGCCCACAATTAAAGCCGTACAGCACTGACGTCATATAGTTTACATTAATTTTGGTCAAACATTTAAATGGCGTATACTGAATTTGCTAGGTGTGTGTGTGTGTGTGTGTGTGTGTGTGTGTGTGTGTGTGTGTGTGTGTGTGTGTGTGTGTGTGTGTGTGCGCGTGTGTGTTTAGGTGTGTGTGCTCTCTGCAGCAACAAAACAAAAATAAAATGGGATGGGGAGGAAGAATGTCAGGACGTTACTGCACTCCCAATGTCTAATTGTTAGAAGATGGCTGTAAAGTAATTAGACGGGTCTTCTGATCCCCCCAGTGTGCGTGTGTGTGTGTGTGTGTGTGTGTGTGTGTGTGTGTGTGTGTGTGTGTGTGTGTGTGTGTGTGTGTGTGTGTGTGTGTGTGTGTGTGTATCAGCGGCCTATCTTGCAGCAATCTTCCATATTCGGCCGAGGCTCATTGGAAATGTGTGCTTTACTGCTGTCACACAGTCTCGACATGCTTTGCTCTTTTCACAGCTTATAAACAGGCCACAATGTGATTGCCGCCATTGCGCTTTACGGCGTAAGAGACATCACCGCCGTGGGGCGTTTAAAGGCCCAGACAACAAATAACACGCTAGGATCAAAACAAATTACATTTTACAGATAATTACATTTGTAATAAATTAGTTTCACATGTCCCACATTTTGTATCGTTTCCAGTTATGTCCCTGTAAAATACTCCATCAGAATTGACTACAACCTGTTCATTTTTTGCACTTTAAACAGTTCTGCATCTTTCATTATTATCGTTGTTAGTCTTCTTCTTATTATTATTATTATTATTACTATTATAGAATAGATATTATCTGATTATTGTCCCATTAAATACAGTGGTAAATAAAAAAAATCAACGTTTTTCTTTTTTGATATGTTTTAATACATTCTTTTTTTCAGTTCAGTCACGTAAATATTTATAGAAATAATTAAAATACGTCTTTGGGCGAACAGAACAATACACTATAAGAGCGGTCAATTTTGGTTGACTATTGTACAATACACATTACATTTCCCTACATACTGTCAAAAATGACCACCGACGATTTATTTTGAATGTGCATTTTGCTTTCACAATAAGAGAACATCTAAAAAGCATCTAAAAATAATAATTAATGTAAACATTGCGAATAGGTAGCTGAAAAACATTCAGGTAGTCGATGATTTTTTTTCATGCATTAAAAAAAACACAACAAATCTCCTAGTTCACTTTACAAAACACACATGAGAGAGACGAAATAAACATTCTACATTAGTTAACAACACAAACTTTAGACGACAACGTATGTAACAGTTGAGAATAATAGGGACAGACACCCGTAGGACCCCCACCGACCCCTCTCACAGCTCGAATCAGTATTATTATGCCACTTAACTGTCTCTCCGCCGGTCTTTGTTGTCTTTCTTCATCTTCATCCTGCGGTTCTGGAACCAGATTTTCACTTGTCTCTCGGTCAAATTGAGCAGTCTGGCCACTTCGTATCTGCGGTCCCGAGGAAGGTACATGTTGTACAGAAATTCCTTCTCCAGTTCCAGGATTTGGTGCTTTGTGTAGGGGCAGCGCTTCTTTCTGGTGGGCTTCGCGTGGAGCCAGTTGGACGACGGGTTGTCTGCGTGCACAAGAGATCGAGCTGATGCTCACGTAGCTTTTTATCTTCTTTTCCTCTGAAACGCGCTGCATGTGTGGATTTACTTTTTCTATGAATGGTTCTTGAATATATATATATATATATATATATATATATAATTTTAAATCAAAATTTTTAGGCAGTCATTTCAGAACGTTTTCCACATTTCATTTGTATACATAGATTTTCTTATCTTAATTGGAAGATATTAAGTGTGTTTCCTACCAGACTCTTATTTTGAAACATTTTCTGAGCATGTGAAAAGTATCATTTGAATAAATTTGCCTTGTCGAGACGTTTGGTTCCTTCGAAAAATTATTTTGTATTGTATAAAATAGTAATATGCTCAAAATATATAAAGGTGGTAAAGGTGCTATTGCAACTCAGGTTCCATATGGCACCATTCCACACCAGTGGGGATAAAGGTGATAATTTTATTTAATGATTCTATATGACACCATGGACTTCTTGATATTCCAGAACAATTTATATCTCATTTGGTGCTATAGACCACTGGGTAAGAATAGGTTTTAAAATAGTGGTCAAAGAAACATATTTAGGTACTATTTTGGAGCGCTATAGTTTATGGAGTGTATTGTAAACATGGAATTTAAAAAGCGAGACAGAGAATGATGTGATCCGTTTGATCATCACTAAACACAATGTTACTGGGCCCAACACAAAATTGAGTTGGACCCATTCTGGCCCACGGCCGAAGTTTGGTGACCACTGTGCAATAAGAACGTGCAATGCACTGCAAGTGGTTTTATTTGTGCAAACGCTGCATTGTGTCTGGGATCGCATGCAATATCGTTGGATGTTTATTCAAATGCATTTTAACATTTGTGAGCCATGTGCATGTCCATTTTAACGTTGGGAATCACTACAAAAGATTAATTTTTCACACTTTGTCAATGGGGAATGCGGTGCAGTTTAACACTGCGTCTTTGGGTGATGAATCTGTTGGGAAATGTGCAGCCTTTAACAATCATCGCAGATTACGTGATGCACAGTGTACAAATCATCTAATGGAAAGGCATATAATTGATTTCAATATTGTGTCTGAAGGGAAAACGCCAGTTAGCACGTTCGCTAAAACTGCAGCAAATTTGAGCCAAGGCCTCCGCCAAGCCCCTCTTCACTAAATAATAATAAGACAAAAAGAAGGCATCTCTTACCGGCGTCCATCTCCCTCCTGTCCGCGGCCGAGGGGCTTTCCACGGTCGGCTTGGACGTGGACGTGCTCTCGCAGGGGACCTCCGCCAGGGCCGCGGCGCCCTCCGCGTCAGACAAAAGAGGTGTGTGCGTCTCCAAAGTTGTGCACTCTCCACTTCCAATGAGGGGCTCGGGTTTGATCTCGTAATGCATGGCGGCCGTCGTCGGTAGTCCGGTCAGGCACAAGGGTGCGGACACGGGCTCCAGGGCCCAGGAGCGCGCGAACATGCCATCGCCTTCTCCGCTGCCGGTGTAGTGGTGATGGATGTAAGTCGGGGCGGCGGTGTTGGGCGGGTGCGCCGCGATGGGAGCCCAAGACGCGCCGAAAATAGACGATTTCTGCAAAGGGCAAGCTTCCTGTCCGCCATATTCGGCGAGCATCGCCTGCTCCACCCCTGCGGTTGATGGGAACCTCGCCGGCACATCCTCCTGCAGCTCGGGGACGTCCGCGTAGTAGCTCAGCGTCGACATGGCAACGGCGATAGGAAAAAGAAAAAAAAACCTCCCCTCCCAAAAAAAAGAAGAACCACGCAAATCCTTTTATAATCCCGCAAAGTGGCGCAAGCGGCGTGTCATTGCGTGATATTGCTCCTCGTCGTGCACCCGGCTGGACGCTCAATGCAAGTTGGACGCGGTGAACATTGTCCACGCAAGGATAGGGCGCCCCGAACACGTGACCGTGGGACAGAACAATAAATAATAAATCAGCCTGCTGCTGCTGCTGCTGTGCTGCTGCTGCTCAAGTCAATAGCCAGCCTTTTCACCACCATATTTTAATAGCAAATTCCCTCGCCTTTATTAGGGCTGCCCGCGCTAGTAGTATTCGCTTTTATAAGCAATAAACGTTATGATTTTTGTCAAGAGATCTTTATTTATTAATGGCACGCGCTCGTTGGTGCGCTTGTAACGTTTAAGCCTCCTAGCGAGACGTCCCTGCAAATAAATAGGAGTTCATTAAGATCTAAAAGGGTTATTAATTGGCCTCGGTGAAACACTCACAGGCATTTAAAGGTTATGTGCAAGTTGGTTTGCCACTGGAAACCTCTTTGAAAAAAAAGGAAGTAAGACAAAAAATATTTATGAAGAAAATTCTATACAAAATAAAAACGAAATAATCATTCTGAATGAAAAATTATGTGTAAATACAATAAAACATGGCGTTAAAACCTGTATTTTAAAGTGTTGGATGAAAAATTATGTGTAAATACAATAAAACATGGCGGTAAAACTTGTATTTTAAAGTGTTGGTTTTTTTTGTTATTGCTGTTTTAAATGTGTGCCTTTTTCAAGTGGATATTAAAAATTCTTCAGAAAACAAAATATATATTTTACAAAAATGCTGAGTGTTAAGAATACATTTTGATCGTATAACAAAATGAAAATGATGAGTACTGTGCTTTAAAATGAGCTTTTTTAAAAATGACCAATGTTATAATTCTATTAAAGCCAGCTCGTTCCTGTTTGAAAAAGGCTCTTTTGGATTTATAATCGCAAAACACGTCACGCAGGCTACAGGGCCACTTTCCACGATGCCCAATGCAGGGTTGTTGCTCTCCTTGGGCCCATCCAAAAGAAGCGCACACAGGAAAGTGGGGCGAGGTTATTTGGGTGCCATAACGGCCCCTTTTATCACGGGCAATTGGGGTTGTTTTTCTTAAGGTTACAACCTGGCTGTCTAAGCTAAATATCCCCCAATAAAGCCTGGCCTTTGTGTCCTTTCTGAGGCGCAAAGCAGACGCATCCGGCGTTTCCTACGGCGAGGCAACTGGCAGACTGCAATGATCATAACCGAGGCCTTGTCTGTGCTCTCCTCCTCAACCTGGAACCTTCTTCATTGCAAACAATGCCCATTCATTTGGCTTGTCTTAAATTGCAGACGTGGGGAAAAAATGCTTGCATGGATAAATGGACGTTACGTCGCTCTGCCCAAACCCCCCAGAGAGATCTAATTAATACCGAGCATGGCTTTTACGCACAATAATAAAAGATAATGTGGCGCTTGTGGGAGTATAGTGCGTTTTATTTGCTTGCTGCCAAATTATTGATAAGTACAATTGCTAATGAATAGAAAGTCACTTTTCACAACCTTCGACGAGTTTTTACTGAGGTAATCAAGGCAGTTTCCTGTTGTGGGACGAAAGTCACATATAGCCCAACAACATGAGACTACCTAAACCACTCCAGAGTCCCGCTCTCCTCTTCTGCTGCGACACGACTCGAAAAGATGCACTTCAACATATACTGTAGTGTCCTTCACATTGAGTCAGTGGAAATGACATGCATTTGAGCATTGTGTTGTTATTCAAAATGTTAACAATGGGAATCATTTTTAACATTGAGTCACCGGGAGTAATCATAACAGATGCAGATAAAAATAGTGTCAATGGAATTTAGAAGCATGTCAGCACTGTGACAATAAGAGTTACGATAACAGTATAATTGTGTCATTTACGCATTTCAGCATTGTGTCCGTGGAACTATACCTGATGCATTTTACTATTGTGCTATTAGGAATTACAAAAAAATGATAACATTCTGTCATGGAACGTTATCATAGGCGCAATTTAAATATTTTTTTTGTTGGAAGATACTATGGAAAATGGCTTGGAGTATCTAATCAATCAGAGTTAAAATGCATTTTTACATTGTGACTTTAGGATTGTCATCAAGACAGACCACAAAACGATTGCAACATTTTGTCACTTCGCTTATCAGAACATACACCTTAACATGCAGGAGTCAGGAGGAATTAAAATGCATTTTTTCTACTGTGTCATTGGCAATTACTTTAACACAAGCATTTGCATCGTGGCGCCATAAAAGTCGATCTGTGATAGTTTCCATAACATGCATTTTAACATGGAATCATTGGGAATTAAAATGTATTTTAACATTGTGCCAAGATAGATTTTAACATTGCGTCAGTGGAGTTGGTAACTACAACATACGGGCTTGAACAGTGTGGAATGAAAACGCATTTTAACATTCTGTTATTGGAAGTTATTACAACAAATGCGTTTTAACAATGTGCCATCCGGAATTACAGTTGTGTGCATATACGTTTACATACTCTCGTGGCAAAATGTTCAAGATCTGCACCGTTCTTGACCGAAAACATATATGAGAAAAAAAAACACATTTTATTTTCAAGTTAAATCAACTTTAACTAAAAGACATCGCAAATAAACACAATCATAAAACAAAACGTAGCTATAAAGAACATAATGAGATAGTCCCCGTTTAGTCTTTCGTCATCTTTCGCTTAAAAAAAAAGAATATTATTAATTCACAAATTCTGACAAGATATGAAAACGAATGAGCACAGCTGTACTGAATTTTAACATTCACTGGGGAGTTACCATAACATGCATGTTAACACTGTGTCAATGGGAAGTAAAATGTTTTTAAACAGTGTCACCGGGAGTCACAAAAACAAATGTAGTGCAATAATAATAATAATAACAATAATAATAATAATAATAATAATAATAATAATAATAATAATAATAATAACATGACGGAATTTTGTCATAAGCAATTGGAGTTCATTTTAAGATTGTGCCTTTAGGAGTTATGAAAGACGGATGTGAAGATTTTGTCATTGCGAATTTGGTGCAGTTCAACATTGTGTTATTGGCGAACACAAATTTCCCAAAATGTGCATGAGCCCAAAACTGTCATTGATACAGCGTGTAAAATAAAGAGTTAACATTTACAAGGATTGTTTTTATTATTATTATTACGTTGACCAGCAAAAGTGTGCAAATACACATTCATTTCTTACTGTAACACTGAGGAGGTATACATGCACGTAGCAATGCTTTCACTTTACATTATGTACATACATTGCGTTCACATTCTGAACATTTCAAACACACCGGTTACAAATGTCATTTATATAAATACACATCCACGACGATAAAAAGCGGAAAGAATAACATTCAATAAGTTAGCCTAGCACAGAAGGTCCGGTTCTTCTCACCGTCGGCTGCGATGGGGATGAGTCCGCTAAGTCTCAGGAGAAAGCGAAGTTTCCGGACAGCTCCCGGATCCTGTTCTCCCGGCTCATTTTTTTCAATTTCATCCTCCTGTTCTGGAACCAAATTTTCACTTGCCTGTCGGTGAGGTGCACACTGCGGCTGATCTCCAAGCGCCGCTCCCTGGTCAGGTACATGTTGAACAGAAACTCCTTCTCCAGCTCCAGAGTTTGGTGCTTAGTGTAGGGACAGCGCTTTTTTCTGCCACTCTTGGCGGTCAGCCAGTTCGCCGGACTCTCTATTTTGCCAGCATCTGGGAAATAAAATGTACGAAGCGACGTGAGGCAACAGGTGTGGACGACCACATTATAAACGCGTCTTTTTACATAAGAAAGGCGCATACATCCGTGCATTTGTGATGTATTTTCCTGACGTCATTCTTGTACTCATATGCTCCGGCATATAAACATTGGATGAATGTGGTCTTAATGCACAAAAATCCTACTCGGACTAAATATATGTATTACAACTTATAATGCTTTGCACGCACACTAATGATGATTGTATCATTTTGAATCTGTCTGCATGGAAAGGAACCACGGATCCAAAGCATACCACATCATATACGTTAACACACCCTTGCACTTGCAGGTGCAAATGTCTCTTCCGCGCAAACTTTCTCCAGAATACGCACATGCATGCAAACATTTCTTTCATTAACACATACAACATAAGAGGCCCCTTCCGCGTATTCTGCATCCATGAAATAGACCAAGCCGGGTCACAAGACGAATGTGATACAACAGGATTTTTTGTGTCTGTTTAGCTGTCTTGTGAGTGTTGCAAAAACGTGACTAGTTCAGATACTATTGTAGCACAAAAACCCATTAAAGCTTGACGCACAACGTGTTCACGGTCTGATAACTGTCCCATTGTGGTATTCTGTATTTACTTACTGTTCTGCGGGCAAGACCACACGCTTCTACGGCTTCCGTTCTTTCACGGAAATACATATTCCTTTCATAAATAATCCAGACAATGCACATGTCTTTTGTCAGCGCAATGCACCTTTTAATGGCTTTTCTTCACAGTCCACGTCGCATGCATCCGCAGGCTCCGGGGACGACGACTCATCGGAGGACAGCCGGCTGTCCTCCTCTCTGGCCGGGACGCAGGGCTCGGAGGCGGGCGCATCCTCGTGGCTCTCCCGCTGCCTGGAGGAAGCGGCCGGAGCGGGTGGAGCCAGCTGCGCGGGCGCACGGGGAGGTCGCTGCGGAGGGAAGTCATTCACGCTCGGCTGGGCTTGGTGGTAAAGCCTGGAGGAGGCGTAGGTCTGCGACAAGCGGAAGTAGCCGGGAACCGGCACAGTGCTGCCGCCTGTGGGCGGACACGACGCTCCGGAAAAGGAGATCTCCTCCACCGTGGCTCCTTTGGGGCATTTATCAGATTCGTAGAGGCAATAGGCGTTCTCCTCCTTTATCGCGGCGGAGAAGGAGCACTGCTGGGTCAGATGTTGGCCGCCGGGCTGCTCCACCCTGCAGGAGCGAGACGCCTCCAGCCATGTCTCCATGCCCGGAGCATAGGGTGCGGAAGGCGGGATGCCAGTCGGTGCGCTCACCTCGGTTCGCTTCGCGATTCCCGGGAAGCAAGAGGAGCCAGCGGGGAGTCCATAGGAGTATTCCGGGGGTAAATACACGCCGTTGCTGTGGTAATACGAGCCGGCATCGCCCCTGACGTTGATTAGCGAATCCACAAAAAACGGATTGGCAGCCTGGTTGTTGGGGCATGTCATGGCTGTGCTAGGGTGAAGATCGCCCATTCTGTCCAACATTTCTTGTGCAAAACATTTCTGAATAATTAGCGATACTCACGCTTCTCACTGTAGCCCGCAGCCAATTAAAAGAGCAGGCGGCTGCAGACTCCTCCCAGTCCGACCAGACTGCTCCACTGTGTCGTATATTTCGCTTTAGGTTAAGTCAAGAAAATTGCACAAAAAAGGGGGGTATTGCACATGCACAGGGGATTGTGGGTAAAATATCATTTGAAAGAGGGGGAGTTTGAATCGTGAGCAAATCGTCCATGCATGCAAGCCAAAGCAGAGTTGAACAAGTGAGGCAGCTGAAAGCTGCAAACAGTCTTGTACATTGCATTGCTTTATGGTCGCTTTTACTGCATTGTAAAAAAAAAAAAAAAGGTGCAGTAAAGGTGCATCACGGTGCATCATAGTTCCAAAAGGTCCTAGCTCACTGTCTTCCAGAGGGACCCTTGACCCCTATTGTGCCGCGCTCATCATTTCTGACGCTTCCACTGTTACATTTGGCCAAACCAAGCTTTCAACGTGTTTATTTTTAATGGATGAAAATGAGTTGTTCAATGCCTATAAGGCTTGATGATCGAAGATTGAAGATAGAAGATTGAAGATAGAAGATAGAAGATAGAAGATTGAAGATTGAAGGTTGAAGGTTGCAAATAGCCTACAAATTATTCTTTAGAACATTCTTAAATATACACAGTGAATTATTATGAAACATACTTCAGAAAAATATTTTACCACTTCAGTTTGGATTTTGTTGTTGTTTGTTTTTATTTAACCATCTAGTTAACTTTACTCGTCATGAATAGTTTGTATAACACCATTGTAATTAATAGTTTATTTGTGAAAAGACGGCGGTCGTAGTAAAGCGTGGATTCAAAATACTAATTTAAGTTGAATTCGATTTGCGTGCATACGATTGAAGAAAATACTCCGAAAAACCTAAACGAAATGTGACTTCCGTTGAATTTATTTTTATGAAATAAAACGGCGGTAATAATTTACAATTATATGGATTTTGGTTTAATACGATTTATTCCATTACATAACATTATATACTAAATCGTTTACATCGTTTTAGGGGACACCAAATTTGAAAATTTAAACAAGGGAAGAAACGTCGTTAAAACTTTACAAATTAGCGAAATATCCGAAATTTCTTGTGATAATTTGACTGAAGACAGAAGAGAGAACTATCTCATTATATCTTTTTCTTTTATGTTATATTTTGCACTCCGAAGACAGATGTAGCGGGACGCTTTCGACACGCTTGTGGAAAAGCGGTTCGGATAATGGAAATATTGTGTTATTCTGAAATGCCTCGTTGTTTAATTTAAACCTATTAAAAAATAATCAAATACATTTTTGTTTTTAGTACACGTTTTAGTAAAAATTCTACCATAGCATACAAAATTCTGAGCATATTTAAACCAAATGTGTGCACTGTCGCTTGCATACATCAAATCATTTTTATCGGGAGTTGTCAAAGCGTCATCTGTGATGTATGCTTATCTTTTGATGTAATCTCTCATTTTGTTCTTTTGAGTCATTACACCTCTGTTAATAAATTTGACTTGAGTTGCCACGCAAATAAATGTCAACAGACACACATCATAATGATAACATCGTATGATAACTTACCAGCATCACGGAAAATCATCACTACAAACCCAATGTGCCGCTATTTGTTTTTTTGCGGGTGGGTTTTTACGTGAAAAGTGGATGCCGTTAGGGAGGTCATGACTTTTGCACAATCTTGAGCCACAAACGGCATGTTGCAATTAGCCCAAGAATACTTTTATTGCATGATAACATTCTCCACGGAGTTGAGTGCCTCCATTGTGTTTTTCAAGAAAAATTAAGAGAACAAAAAAATATGCCAAAAAAAATCCCACATCATTATCATATGTGCTTACCTGAAGGAGTGAACCCCTGAGCCGGTGTCTTTAATCTGAAATAATCAACTAACGGCATTGACATTGATCGACGGAGCGCCCTCCGGTGGGAGAAAATAGCAAGGCCTTGCACTGCACCACAACACCAGCAACAAGGCTGGGGGGTGGAGTGGGTGGTGGAAAAAAAAAAGAAACAATCCAGAATACTCCTGCAACAGTCTGGCGTGCCGATGCTGCACCAAGAAGAGCCGCAGCCTTCAACGGTGCAGCACCTCTTGTTTTGCAAGCCTCCTTCCAGTCGCAGTTAATAACCTTGGTTCTCAGACGCTTTATTGCACTCCACTCCAAATGCTCCAGACGAGTCCGGCTTTTTATGGCCAAGTTACTGGAGCAACTGGGAGGATGTGCAGCAATCAAAGCGGAATTCCAGGGACTCTCACAGGATGTACGGTATAGGGAAGCCATATTATCTTATGGCAGGTCATTCAAGCTCCTCTTAGAAGCCTGGTTCAGTCCGGTTCTTCGGCAAAGACGAACTTTTGTCTCATCAAATGTAGATTTTTACCTCCATTCAATCGTTCTACAAGACGCCGTGAGTGCCAACACATCGTGTTTTGATGAAGAAACAGAAGAAATTAGATCATAATACAAAATGAATATTAAGATGGCAACTTCCAAAATCACACAAACAGACTTTCCATTCATCACAAGAACGTGGGGGATTTTTTTCTGTCCACTAACAGGCATGTCAGGTCAGAAATCAGCCTACAGGAAACGACTGAGCTCTTTGTAATGGATATCAAATTAAAAGCCACAGCAGATCCTGTTACTGAGGCTCGGGAGAAGAGGCATTTTGCATATGAACTATACGTGCCGCAATATAAAACAAAAATAAAGGGTTTAGTTTCACTGCAGGGATTTCTTTTTTATATTACCGGTTTATAGTTCGGTCAAGTAGATGCTAAATATGGCTGTATGTGTCGCAGCTGCAGGCTAAAACATAAACAGCACACAAAAATCACCTCCAGCCATCGAAATATATATATCACAATCTGTGCATGCGTGCGAACATGTAAACATGTAAATATGAGCATACAAATTGGGGGTAGAACATAAGAGCATTTTTGTCACAATAATAATAATAATAATAATAATAATAATAGAGAAAGGGACGTTTCATAACATATCATTTATCTGAGTTCCCAACGGCATCCAGGTGTTTGACGTGTATAAAGTCCATGTTTTTTATAGCAGAGGGTTGCTGGTGTAGTACTGTAAACGGTCCCTGTTGAGTTTCTTCTCCTTCATCCTCCTGTTCTGAAACCAGATTTTCACCTGTCGGTCAGTCAAGTTGAGCATCCGGGAAAGCTGCAGCCGCTTCTCCTTGTTGATGTACACGCTGAAGAAGAATTCCCTCTCCAGCTCCCTGATTTGATACTTGGAGTATGGACATCTCTTCTTGCGCGTCTTCTGGTCACCTAATCGCAATCATAAAGATGATTTCAATGCCATATTTACAGAGGGCAGGATGGGAGGATTACGCACAGTGAGCTCAGGGTGCGAGTGTCGCCCTCCTCTCGGGGCCTTTGCGCATAAACACTATGATGGAATAAAAATCATTTTTAAACAATCATGTTGAGTCAAAAGGACTTTTAGACGTGAATCGGAGGCAGTATGGTATCAAGTGGCGTTTTTATAGTCCGCTTTAGGTTTCACTGGGCTGCGCGTAAAGTGTTGTATATAGGCTCATGTTAGTGAGGCCAGCTGCATATTAAATCCCTCGAAATCCAGTAAATTTGTACACACATTGCTCATTAAGTTATAAGCAGCTCTTAAAGGCGGAGGCTTGAAAGATGGATTTAACGCCTTGCTTTTCAAATTGTTGATATGGAAAGCGGGGGAGGAGGGGTCAAGTTTGAAAGTGAGCTCTTTGTTTAGGTGGCTAATTAGCAGCTACAAAAGAATGATTTTAAAGAAAAGTAAGCACATCGGGAAGGGAACTTAAAGATCTGGGTTTATTTGTGAGTAAAATTGATGGTTAAAATGTTCATTTGTACATAAAATACGACTGAAAACTACATAAAACACGATGGTCGCTAGTTTTCATACTGGTGATAATGAGATAAAAAAAAGTGGGCATGGAGGAAAAAAAGTGAAACCGAATGTTGGGCTGTTGATTAAGAGTTCGAAACGCAGAATGAGAAAGTGTTCCTCCGTTTTTAGAGTGGACATTGTATTTTAAAAACTGGTCAATTTACAGTTAGTTCAAATTTCAGTTGTACAATGATTTTGAAAACGACCCCAAATGTACAACGCGCTAGGCTGGGAAAAACGCTTATTTACATACAGTAAATTGTAACTATAGTTTTAAAGTAGAATTTACTTGTGTTTTTTTTTCGAATTATTGATCATCAAAGCAGTGAAACTCTATTGGCGGTTAAAGTTAACGACGTTTCGGTTATTGTTTCGTGTGCTATAGATACCTAGTGTGACCGAGTGCTTTTGAAATAGTTGACACTCACACCACAAAAATGGGGGGGGGGGGCGAAGGTGGGGATTATTGACAAAGTGACTTAGTGTTTGTTGTTTATTAATATTTAGGCGTTGGGTTGGTGGGAAAGTGTAAATGTGTTCATTTAAGGTCAACTTTCTGCAAAGAGTCGGAGATAAAAAGCTTTCAAAGTCGAATATGATTCAAAATGGGAATATGTATCTTGACTTTAAACTCCTCACGGCCAATTTCAAGCCCAAGCCCGTGATCTTGTCGTTTGTAACATACTTTTTTGTCGTGTTAAATCTCGTGCCCCCCCCAACCCCAATAAACCTTAAGAACCATAAACCTTAAAAAGAGCATATAAAACGTCTTTTAAGAGTATACAGAAAGTGACGGCCGTACTCACTGCCGCCCTTTGCGCTCCTGTCTTCGCCGAGGCCGGGGGACGATTTGGGGCTGCAGCTCTCCGCCGTGTCCGAGCCCGGAGCTTGAGGAGCTGGCGCGGGGCTGGACTTGACCGCGCAAAGCCTGTCCTGGCCAGGCGCGGCAGCTCCGTGTTCCTGGCCGACGAAGGCCGAGTCGAAGAACTGGTCGAAAGCCTGCGGTAGGACGCCGTTCCTGGCCGCGCCGCCGTGGAAGCCTCCCGGCGCGTTGGCGGAGCCCGAAGAGCAGACGCCTTTCGCCTGAGCGTCAACCCCGCGGGGGGTCGGGCCGGTCCAGCCGTCGTCCGCGTAGCAGTGCGCTAGATTCCCCCTGCCGTGGTGCCATTTCGCCGCGCTGTCCACAGCAAAGTCTCTGAATGCCACGTCTCTCACGGATGGAACCTGAGGAAGGGCCGACGACTGGTACGAGTAAGCCACCGGGCAGGAAGGCTGACCCTGGGCCAGATAGTGCGGAAGAGCCGTGAAATCCGCTCCAGGGACGTAGTAAGTGCAGCTGGGTAGATACATATTGGAAGCATCCAAATCCATACTCTTGTCCTCTTTCAGCACGGGGTCATCCTGCTGACTGAGTGAGCTGCAGTGACTTTAGTGAGGCGCGCTGAGCCCTGCACGTCGTGAGCTGACGTGCGTGAGTGAGGTCCATGTCGATTCCGAGCCATGTGACCACTGGCACTACATGACACACGCCTCAATGGGCCCGCAGCAGCTTGTGAGTCAATATGGCTCGCCGCTATAAAGTCAACCTTTGGCTGCACGGCCAGAGGAAAAATTCACGGGGAGGAGGGGAATATTGCATCTCTTCAACGCGAGCTATTTTCACAGTACTTGACTATCTTTGAACACTGCTTTCGCTTTTCTCCAACTCGAACCCGCTCATTGGAGGTATGAGGTCATACGTTAACAAGATAGGAATCTGCCTCATCAATGTTCACGACTTTTTCATTTTTAATTCAGATTTTTAATAGTCAAATCTTTTTATTTTTCAACGCTACTAAAATTCAAAGCAACAGATTTGAGGACATTTTAGAAGTAGGTCTGTTGCTTATCGTTAGCCTGAATTGCCAAAGTCAATTTTTACTCACTGTCACAATATGAATAAAAATTACCTGCGTGTTTGCTAAAAGTGATGTTTCTTTCACTTTATGTCCTATGGTAATCTGTGAAGGTTAAATGCAGGTAACTGGATCTTTTTGTTAGTTGAATCTGTCGTGTTAGCTTTTTTTTAATGTAATTGTTTCCCCCAAAACGTTACAAAAATTCTTCATGCTATTAGACGAACGTTATACAGGTGTTAATTAATAAAAATGTCCTAGTGATTGTATTCGAATTTTATAACCTGCAAACGTTGAAACTAATATGTGCAGTTTTCAAACCCCGGTTGGTGAATCAAGTTTAGAATTATTAACGAAATGCTGGCGGACAAACATAATTCCCAAGACATATATTTGTGGGAATTTAGATGGGCAAACTGGGCCCCAATATGCAAAATAGGTACTTTTACATTAGCGGTTAATAAACGGCATGGAAATTGCTTATTATTCGTTTGTTAACACTCCATTAACAGTTACAGTGATGTGCTGTTTGCTAAATAGTGAGCCCAGGACAGATAACAAAAACGTAGCAGTCCACCCTTAACTGCCACATAGTGATCTTACACCACAATTTATGACCGATAATTAATGGCTTAGAAACTCCATATAGTATCAGTTGTAAACAAACTAGAGCGTCGGATAGGCTTTTTGGAATGCGGTTCCCAAAGTTCTCCGATATTTGCGTCGTTTTAAAAAGGCCAATTAGACTTGAAACCAACACTGAAAGATCATATTTCATTTTCTCCACGACACTGCACCGCAAATCATACCACTGCTGGTTAAGCTGTTTAAGCTATGGAAATCTGCACAGGAATACCCAGTGAATACCCTGTCATTTTAAAATTTGATTTGCTTTTAAAAACAAACATCACATACATTTTTTACGTGGTGTATGTACAAATGAGCCTCTCAAATTTGTCAAAAGGGCAATTGAAAAACAGGTGCGTCGCACCCTGCCCCCTTGAAAAAAAAAAAAAAAAAACTAAAGTGGGTCCCTAGTGTAATGCGAGACCCTATACGCCAAAAATAAATCAAGACAGAAATGTCAAAAAGGGCCACGATGACGATGGAAATGGAAATGGAGTCGTTCATTCGGGACAGGAAGCATCAGAAAACAATGTTGTCCAATTGTGTTGTGGAATCATAAAGTGAAGTTGCCCAAGAATAGTTGTACAGAGACTGTGCAAAAAATACACATTATAAGAAAGCCATCTACTGTATGACACATTACGCCTCTACGATATTGCCACATTCCTTTTAAAAACAACTGTCAAGAAGTGTATTAAACATATTCAAATATAACATGTAAAAAAACAATAACAGCAAAATAGTATCAAAGTTAGTAAAAAAAAAAAAAAACCCTAAAATAAACATGTTTAAAAAATGAACTGCAGTACCTCCTCTGTCTCTAACTGGAGAAGATCAACCAACTGAATTTAACAACACACTTATGAATGATCTTTGTGTTTTTGTTTCGCAAGATAATCTCAATTGTTTGCAGGTGTCATTGGGATGTTTTCAACTGAAAAAGTGTCTGGTAGCGCTTTCAACTGTGAAGGAAGACTCCACTGTTTTAAGAATTTCCAAAGCTCCAATGGCATGCAAATATATGATGTGGTAGCATATGCTTTGAATCGAACAGATCCATGAGTGTTGAAACCTTTTTCATTGCGGGCTACAGTGCAGTTTTGGCTGCCCTCAGAGGCATTTATAATTGAAACCATTGGGTGCACTTGAATCCATAATTCTGCAGTGGATTATTGTTTTTTTTTTAATTTTTAGCAACAGATCGATGGATTACTTGTTGTGAAATCAGTTGTCAGTTAAAATAAATAACATAGTTATAAGCATGTTATCAACTTCACAAGTATTGTACAAGTAATAGTTTTTTAAGGAGTTTTACCACTAAAATTGTGAAATCAAATCATGCTGCAATGTAAAAAAAAACATTTTTCTGTTGTTGTTTTTGTTCTTTTGAAATGTGTCAGTGAGAAAGTTGAAAAGAAAGATGTGTCCTATTACCATGCGTTTAAACGTGATTGGTTTATTCTGAACACAGCCACACCCCCAGTTCTAACTGGGTGTGCACACTTATGCAACAACCTTTGTTGTTTATTGGACTTTCCCTTTCAAAAATATATAGTTCTTTCCAATTAAGTTGCATATGTTCTAGGTGAAATTATTGGTGGGCAAAGTTTTACATTTTGTATCTTGGTCTCAAACGGGTGTGTAGACTTCTTATATCCACTATATTTTGTGTGCACTTAACTGGCCTTCATATGACAAAAAAAGTCAATGCTTTTGTTCAGAAAAGTCTTTGCAGAAAAAATGTCGGAGGCCTCCAGAGGATGTACACACCTTAGTGATCACACTTTATAAGAAGTACACGTTGCGCATTATTTTTTTCCCCTTCCTCCATTGCCAAACTCCCGATACTGACCCGGCCTAAAGAACAGTGAAAACATAAATGGCATGTGGTGTTTTTCCACATCGACAGTCCAACCCCACCCGCACTTGATGCATTTTCTGCCTCTGGCTTCAGTGACACATGAAATAAGTGAAGCCCGAAAGATGAGGTTACTATGGCAACGGGGGAAAACAGGAGTATACATGTCTCGTTATGCTTCCAAACTCTTAAATATAATGTTAGTACGCCACAGTTTTAAACATTTGAAAGCTGTGTATACTTTGTGTCACGTATTTTCCCCCAAAAAACTGATGTGGTATGCTTTGGATCAGGGAGAGATAGTTAATCGTGGTGCAAAGCATGCTGGTTGGTTGTTGACTTTCTAGACACTAAAAGATAATCACCTCACTGTAAATAAAAGCACAACTTGTATTTCTTTGGGGCGGAAATAGTCATTTAAATTGGAGCAATTTTACATGATGAACATTTACGTCAACAATAATGAGCACAACAAAAAAGCAAGCAAAACAATTTGCTGGAGTTGTTTCTACTTACCTATTTAAGTTCGGGACAATACAATTGACAATTAGCTGTGCAAACACTTCACTTCTGCGTTCTGAAATGCGAGAAAGCTAATTTTTATGAAAGTAAAACTTTAAATATTTTGTAGAATTGCCCAACGAACTTTGTTGCCTTGAAATTTGGAGTTGACCCAATTTTTTTTTTTACAGTGTTGTATTTATTAATAACCGTTTGAATTTTAAATATGCCCTGCACCATTTTAAGTGATGAAAAAATAAATTATATTCATAGATCATACACTTCATGAGCCATTTATTCTGATTGCTGCTGATGAAAACGCTGTCAAAGTATGTTTCCATCCATCTTTTTATTGGATTTGCCAATTTGAATACTGTAATATGAAGATGACTGTATTGTCTTTTCTAATGTTTCAATCCAGTGGTTTGACATTTTTAAGATTATCATCAATGATTTGAATGATTTTATGATACAACTGCCTTGCTCATTTCTTCCAATGAGTTTGCATATAAATGTCTCGCTTTGATAGCATTTGTCTGTAAGTGTGATTTATATCCACAAGTGGCCTCATGCGTCACATATATCACAGAGCGTCCTCTTGATGCATTTTTGAAATGTTCTGTATTGGATGATTTACTGCCTAAACATCAAGTTGAAGTTTTTTTTTCCTTCTTCCCCTCATTCAAAATGTTTTTTTTTCCTTCTTCCCCTCATTCAAAATGAAAACACATTTTGGTCATTCCCCGATGATTCTCATTCATCTGTGAACAGTTGAAGCTTCCAAAGCTGGTGGCGTGTTTAGCCCACCGAAAGAGGTTTTCAAATAAATATTTTGGGTTAACCAGACACTCATAATGTGTGTTATTGCATTAATCCCGGAGAGGCGCTTTCACTGGGATGGAAGTCATAATAAAAACATGTCTGCTGTGAAGTAAAAGCCGCACTTCCCTCCAAGCCTGCATTTAAATATGATGACCAAAAGCAACAAGCAAACAATTACACTTACTGTGCTGACACTTCACTTATGTCGTGTATTCACTTCGGCCATGCAAAGGCCGTGACAAGGAAACACATATATTATTTGGGAGTTGTTGATTTTGTAAGGATAATTTTGTTGTATTTCAAGTAAATGGAGCTCGGGCATGAAAATAAGATGTGCATTAAAACAGCTAAAAGTAGATTTATATCCAGTCAAAAGTCGAGAAAAATCGACTTTGGTTTCCCGAATTACAGATACTCAGGTGGAAAATGACATCAAACATATTTTTAGATCCTTCCAAATTTGTGATTACATTTCAATTCAAATGCTATCAGTCATTTCAAATGTGGCCATTTTTCTTGTTGGTGCTTAGCTCTCTGCTGTTGTATATTACGTTTAGTAAAACAACGATTCTGAGTGAAAAATGATGAATGATGAAAAATGTTAAACCAAGTTATGATTTTGCACACTGTAGTTGAGACAAGCAGCTATTCATTGTCAAAGTCAAGTTCAGCATAGTCTGGTACATCACAAGCTAAGGACGCATTTGTATTTGAGCACATGATGAAAAGGTCTTTTGGTGGGTTAAAGTCAATACTCAGAATTGTGAAAGTCGGGCCTTTAAATTTATCAATAAAGAAAACATTGTTAAAATGCCATCCGAGGTAACCAATACCGCTCACCTTTTTTTTATGCAGACAATTTGTTGCTTTGCCGCCAGGGGACGCAATGACACCAAATTAGAGAGAATGAGCGCTGCAGACAAGCTGCATGGAACTTAAAAAAATGAAACAGAGCATCAAATAATTCCACAATGAAATCACTTGACCCCTAAAATGTGATTGTCTTGTGCAAATAAGACAACAAATATCCACCTGTTTTTACTCCCAAAAGTTAAACTTTACCTTTGTGAAAGCAAAATGTCGTGGAAGTCATACTATGTAGATCTACGTTTGATGAATACAAGAAGATCGTTCATATGATTAGAAATATTGTTGGGAAATAATGTGTTTTATCTGTAAATAACTGAATTGCAATGTCAAGATCCATCTTGGGTCTAAAATGTGCGTGTGTGTGTTTTTAAGAAGAAATATATATCTGAAAACTGTCTTGTGCTGGGCCTACCAAGGAAAGAAACATCAATAAGTGTAAACGACAACAAAATATTCAGAATATATTAAACATATTAATGGGCAATGTTTAATTAAGACCAACAATGTCCATAATTCCAAGACTTGTGAATCAATAATCGCCTTAATGTAATACAGTACAGGTACTTCATTTACTATTAAAGAAACATGATACAAGTTTTCGTCTGACTTGTGATGATAAATGACGTTTCCAAAGTGAAGTTAAAAACAAATCCATCCATCCATTTTCCGATTTGCTTATCCTCACAAGAAGTGCTGTAGCCTATCCCAGCTGTCTTCGGGCAGTCGGCAGGGGACACCCTGAACCGGTTGCCAGCCGATCGCAGGTGAACAACAAATGTAGAAGCAAAGTCCGCCGACAAGAGCAGTTGCTGTAATTGCAGACTTTGGACACTAGATGGCTACAAACTCCAATTTGCCTCAACATGGAAGCTCAGACTAAAACATAAAAGTGTCAGTTTATGACGAGAAACGACTTTAATGTCAGTGGGCAATATATCCCATCAATAATCATTTCAAAAGTGGACCGAAAACACAAACGTGCTTTTAAAGCAGCTTTATTAACATTTTCGTTTGGCTATGTCCCCAAAATATTTACAAATTTAAATACGTCCACTCGACATTAGTTTTTTTTCCTTGTTTTTCTCCTTGTAAAATCAGAATACTGACAGGCAAGAAAAATACACAGTCACGACCACTTCAATAATCAGACACATTATGTTTCTTACAAGCAATTGCAAAGATGAAGTTTCCATCTAATGGTCGGAATTGGAAACAAACAAACAAAAAAACATAAAAGGGCAGACATGGATGAGGTATTGAAATGAGGTGTCTAGGTCCCATATGGAGCACTTGAATTACCCCGTAACGCAATTTGAAAAAGCATCAAACCACATAGAAACTGTAATATCAAACCGCATAGAAACTGCAATAGATTTGTTCGATTGTTGCATCATATTTGTTCATCTGAAAACGTTGATTTATATGGAGCCTTTTGTTGTGATGGACCCTTGAAGACATGTTGACGTTTTATACATTAACACTGATAATCAAACGTTTTCGCAAAATTCCACTGGCTTGTTCGTTCAATTTCAAAACTACTTCGGGTTTTGACTTTTTGTGAATATTAACAATGACGTCTAATTAAGACGAATATGCGTGGGAAGCAGTGGCTCTAACGAGGTGGGGCAAACGTGGAAGTTTATCAATCGCCTGATGCGAACAGTTCCGACTTTCTGTCAACGCGCCGCGTGGACTGTTTCCAATTAAAAGGCGAGGATGGAGGAAAAAAAACGTGAAAGGAGGCACTCTGGCGGCAAAGGTGAAGGTAATAAATTATAGCACAGTTTATTTGCGATCAAGGCACGTCTGTGTCCATTTTTCCCCCCAAAAGCGAAATAGACGAGAAGCTAACAGGAGCTCTTGAATTTATTGACGATTTTCTTCTCTTTGACGCGTCGGTTCTGAAACCAGATGGTCACTTGTCTCTCTGTCAGGTTGGTGTGCGCAGATATTCTCCTGCGCTTGTCCTTGGTGATGAACTTATTGGTGGCGTACTCCCTTTCCAGTTCTTTGAGTTGCAACTTGGTGTAGGGGACGCGCTTCTTCCTGCCACGACGCACTTGGCTGTCTGCGCCAACGCCGCAAGTGTCGTCTGCTGCACGATTGGGGGGGGGCAACGTGTTACTTTCAACTGAACGCACACTCAATGTAAGACAACGGAATAAAAACATCTACCATATGTCATATATATAGTACTTGCATTAATATTCAGAACGTTACGAATCAGGTTGATCGTGTTTAAAAGTGAAAAGAAAAACGGGAAAGCATTGCTATTGTATTGCAAAAATAAAATATGCTGGAGAATGAAAAGAGCAAAAGAGCATAAAAAACAATGTCCAAAACAGTAAACGACGAGTTGGGAAAAATAGTAGGAACATTTGGATTATTTAGTGCTCCCAATGCAATATGGCATTTTATTGGGGGAGGGGAAATAATTGATAATTGATCTATTTTTTACTATACATACACGCAGTAGCCTACACACACTGGGTCATCTATCTATCTTGGCTGAACATGGAAAATATTTTCAAATAGTCACCTTATTCAAGATGGCATTTTTCAATTCTTCTTCACTACTATCTATCTATCTATCTATCTATCTATCTATCTATCTATCTATCTATCTATCTATCTATCTATCTATCGAAATAAACTGTTGGTACAAGATGACATTAAGGGTTGAATGGCGTTTTATGGGGTAGCAAAAGGTAATTTAATATTTTTCGAATATTAATTGAAACGATTATGATTGTACAAGGTGTCCATAAAGTCTCTTTACCATTTCAAAAATTTATTAAAAATGCAATTGATTGGATATTTTATTCAGATTTGTTCTATTGTATTCAGCGTTTATTAAAGTTTTTTTTTACCTCTTTTAATAAAGATATCGTGTATCGAACAAAGATAATTGACATTACTGACCTAAAGCAAAGGATTACTGATGCCATTGCCACAATTGATGAGGCAATGCTACAGCGAACATGGCAAGAAATCGAGTACCGTCTTGATGTGCTTCGTGCAACTAATGGTGCCCATGTCGAAGTGTATTAAAAGAGGTAAAAAAAAAAACTTTAATAAATGCTGAATACAATAGAAAAAATCTGAATAAAATATCGAATCAATTGCATTTTAATACATTTTTGAAATGGTAAAGAGACTTTATGGACACCCTGTATTTTGACTATTATTGTGATTATTAATTTTATTTTACAAAAACGAAATAATGAAATATTTCAAAAACATTTCAAAGTTTAAAAAATATATGTTGACACGAAAGATGCCACTCTGGAGGAGTGGTTGTTATGACATTTCATCATTTTAAATCACAAGAACAAATATGTCATTAAATAATAGCTGCTCTATTTTATATTGTTGCACAACAAATTAATGTAAATATTGTAGAAGTAAAACTATAATTGCTTCAAAATTGTATTTTTCGTGGACGTGGGCGTTTTCCTCTTAAATGAAAGTGGAGGAAAGCTAACATTGTATGATTTCCTTTCATGCGTTGTCCATTGTTTTACATTTGAAATTTGCATTTAATTTAGACAGAGTGTGAATATAATATTAAGCATTCCCTAATGACATGGAACTGGAAAAAAAACATTTAAAACTCTCTCTTATTCACCCCCCTTCATTTCTGCGCCTTAATTTACGTCATCAGTTGGCCTCGTGTGGAGGGGTGCTCTTGCTGAAAAGGGAAAAAAATCCAACCCAATTTTTTTTAAATCAATGTACAAGCACAAAATACAACATGAAACACTGAAGAAATAAACCACGCATGCCTCTTTAATGCCTCTTGCATTTAATGCAAAGAGGCATGCCAAAAATATATTTATCATAACATTCAATAAGATTATCCAAGACAACATTTTCATTCAACACGTGGCTTTGAAGCGTTAATAAAAAAAAATGCTCAACATGAATTCACCTTGCAAAGATGACTTCCACAGTGGATTGGCCTGGGTCTGCTCCTTGGCGCAATATACTTGGCCACTCCAGCCATTGGTGGTGATGGACCACGGCTGGTAGGGCTCCATGGGCAGGAGGGGTTCGTGTCTGGGCTCGGGGGGCGCACTCAGCGCGGGGACCACGGGCACGTCCAAGTAGCTCGCCTGGTAGGGAGCCGGGGAGTAGCCCTGGTAGAAGGCGAACTCCTTAGCCCGGCTGGAGAACTCCTCCGCGGGCACCGACGAGTCCCCGTACTTGTCCCCGTAAGAGGCGGCCTGCGCGCAGGCCTTGGGGCAGCCGTGCGACACCGGCCTGCACGGGTAGTAGCCCCCGCCGCCGCCACCGCCGCCAAAGTATCCGTACGGGAGGGAAGCGTTTGGTGAGCTCTGCGTGGCCGCACACGGGCTGCACTGCTTGGCCGCTTCCACGACGCCGGACGCGGGCACGTCGCCGGTGGCGTAGGCGGTGCTGCTCGGAGCCAGAGAGGCGGGATGCGCCAGCAGATTCCTGCACTGGTTGGGCGCAAAGTTCCCCCCGGGGAACGGCGCGTCCTGCATGTTCTTGGCGCGCTCGTCCGCGCTGCTGTCGTAGACGAACATGAGCGGCTCGGCCCAGTGCGAGTGCAGCAGCAATGACGCGGTCATAGCATGTCCCGACACGTGCACGCGTGCGCCTCTTTTTCCTCGAACCCCCCTCGACCGAATGCACCCAGACAGGGACTCTTTGGCAGGGGAACCATACCCGCACGGAACCATCGCAAGGTTATTGGCCCCGGACAGACACGTGATATGCAAAGGAGATGATCAAGGTCTGCACAGGAGATAATAATCACATCAACCCACACAAACACACTGGTTACCGTTTTTTTGTCGTTTTGTTTTTGCTTTTAAAATGTGAGTATAGGTGTGCCGTCCATGCTAAACAATATCAGAATAATTTCTGAATTATTGATGCACGGGTGCACATGCTCCTTCCTCAGCCTTCAAAGCATTCTTTGAGCACTTAATGAGTCCAAGATGCAGCTTTTTGTCCTTTTTAAAAATCCCCAAGGATATTTTCCACAGATGTCCAACTAATTCGTAATTATTAATCACCGTCTTCTGGTGCGAATAAGATATTTCAAGGCCCACTAAATACAAAACAATAATAATAATAATTTAAAAAAAAAGGCGATGACATAGCAGCATTTGGCTGACTGCAGTAGTCGGAAGGCGGGCATGCAGTACGCGGCTGGAGTCCAAGGTCAAGTTGAAAGACAAAAGAGCCGCAAACACAATGGAATAGCGAAGCAAAAGGGAAGCTTTACACACGCAGGGACACAAAAACGCCCATCAATCAACATTTGTCTCATCTCCCAAAAAGAAAGAAAGAAAAAAAAAACATGAAATGCGAACGAAATGGTCGAATCGCCAGCAACAGCACAGAATTAGCTCCGTAAAGCTCAAAACAACCTTAAAAAGTATGAGCATTCGTGTTGAAGGAAGTAATTCAAGTTAAACTTCATCTGAGGCCCTTTCATACAGTTTTTTAATAGAATTTTCTCACCTTTTGGAGACTGTAAATTTTTATGGGCCAAGTTCATAGCGTGTACAGGCAAATGGACTTTTCGGAGGGGATAACCTAGATTTAATCATCCTTAAAGGGTTAACTGAAAATGTGTGAACACTTATGAGATAAAACACGTTTTATGAATATATATATATATATATATATATATATATACACAAAAAAAAAAAGAGAGGGGCCACAAATAGACCCCAGGGGGGACTTTTTAGAGGGGGGTGTCGACTGAAAATAGTAATACATATCAGAATAATTTCTGAATTATTGATGCACGGGTGCACATGCTCCTTCCTCAGCCTTCAAAGCATTCTTTGAGCACTTAATGAGTCCAAGATGCAGCTTTTTGTCCTTTTTAAAAATCCCCAAGGATATTTTCCACAGATGTCCAACTAATTCGTAATTATTAATCACCGTCTTCTGGTGCGAATAAGATATTTCAAGGCCCACTAAATACAAAACAATAATAATAATAATTTAAAAAAAAAGGCGATGACATAGCAGCATTTGGCTGACTGCAGTAGTCGGAAGGCGGGCATGCAGTACGCGGCTGGAGTCCAAGGTCAAGTTGAAAGACAAAAGAGCCGCAAACACAATGGAATAGCGAAGCAAAAGGGAAGCTTTACACACGCAGGGACACAAAAACGCCCATCAATCAACATTTGTCTCATCTCCCAAAAAGAAAGAAAGAAAAAAAAAACATGAAATGCGAACGAAATGGTCGAATCGCCAGCAACAGCACAGAATTAGCTCCGTAAAGCTCAAAACAACCTTAAAAAGTATGAGCATTCGTGTTGAAGGAAGTAATTCAAGTTAAACTTCATCTGAGGCCCTTTCATACAGTTTTTTAATAGAATTTTCTCACCTTTTGGAGACTGTAAATTTTTATGGGCCAAGTTCATAGCGTGTACAGGCAAATGGACTTTTCGGAGGGGATAACCTAGATTTAATCATCCTTAAAGGGTTAACTGAAAATGTGTGAACACTTATGAGATAAAACACGTTTTATGAATATATATATATATATATATATATATATATATACCCAATTAAAATAAGCGAAGGGCCACAAATGGACCCCAGGTGGGACTTTTGATAGGAGGATGTCGACTGAAAATAGTAATACAGTAAATGTTTTCTATTTAGGAGAGTGATGTCTCTGTAAAACGCACACACACTTAATGTTACTGCAATCTATATGGCATATCTTAATGTAAATTTACATAACAGATTCGATAATTAGCATTTCATATTAAATGTGTGTCTCTCTATAAAAAAATATTGTTACTGGACAAGAATTTAGACCATTAGATGATTTTTTATTTTAACGACGACCTCCATCAAGGCTGAACTAAAATGGAAGTTCAATTAATTCATTAAGCTTTGTATTTAATTTCACTGATTTATTTTATTTTTTTGCTATCAGGCTACTTCCTGGGTCATCGACTTGGTTGGTACCAACCAATATGATCCCGGAGGTGCAGGGTTCTACTCTTGTCGTAGTGATTCATAAAAAGGAAAGAACATTCCTATTGCTGAAATCTTATTCACATCCTCATCGAAATGTAATTCACAACATCCTGCATGAAACCAGAAGTCATCAAACTTTTTAAAACAGAGAGCCACTTACTTCTTGGCTTCCTGATTACTGTGGAAGATACCAATTTGATTCACTTCTGAAATTGCTCAGAAACCCTTTCATGAACTGTTACTAATAATTAATTATATTCATTTATGCAAAAACACATCGATTGTATGATTTCTCAAAAGACTTAGGAAACAAATATCAATGTGCAACACTTATTTCTATAAATCAGCCAGTGATTACATTTTCAAATGATCACTTTTACACAATTTCTCAAAAATCACAATGCCCCACCACTTAAATCAGTCTCATGTGATCCTCATATGGTACTTTGGGGTTATCTGGTGCCTGCGGAATGCAAAGAAGAAACCACGTTGAGCATAAACGGGTGCGAATCGGCGCGACAGCACGCACGCAGGCCCGAGAGCAAAGTACTGCGGTGTTTGCAGTACCTATCAAGCAGATGACAACACAGCTCTCAGCCTACAGTGCTTAATGGACTTTTTATGGGCTTGTCTTGTGATCGCATGACCTGTGGCACCTTGGCCCCTCAGTGGCTCTTTGGAGGAGCAGATCAGAAACATGCCGCTCTCGAGTCAGGATGAAATGACTCATGGTTCACATCCAAAGTTTCTAAAAACGGTTGGACAGAAATCAATACAAATCTACAGTGTGTATTTGAATCAATTGGAATTATTTGGGGTAAGAGTTTCTTGGTTTATTTTGCTCATGGAAAAATAAGATGGGTCCACTTGTGAAGCTCTTTAAGTGTGTTACGTCTTATGCTACTACTGGGTGAGTCAAACTAGTAACTACGAGATTTATAATTGGCAGGAAACTCATGTGGCACATGAACATTATCTTTTGATTCCAAACCATTGTAAAAATGAAGAGCTAAAAGGTGCATTCACTTTGCTATTTGAAACTAAGTTGTTGATAAAACGTGTGTGTGTGTGTGTGTGTGTGTGTGTGTGTGTGGAGGGGGGGGAGAGAGAGAGATGTTTTTCAGGAATCTCAAGGAGAAGACATGTCTTTATTTCTTTGCAAGACACATAACACTCTTGTGCTAAAATCGCGTTGCCAATCGCCGACGAATTGAGAGAGAAGAGTAACAGAAAATGATGACAAACAAGAAATACACCGTCTCATTCTTGTAACTAAAACCCCCAAGTAACACGTATCGTGTTATAAGTGCCTTCAACCTTTTGAAACCTCCGCATATGGGACAGTATGCCTCCAACAGAGAAAGGAGTGTTGCATTGTCGAGTAAAAGGTTGTTTTAGAAACCCCCAAGTAACACGTATCGTGTTATAAGTGCCGATATTGGGACAGCCTTCAACCTTTTGAAACCTCCGCATGTGGGACAGTATGCCTCCAACAGAGAAAGGAGTGTCACATTGTCGAGTAAAAGGTTGTTTTAAGGAGCTCATGTTGCTCCATCTTTGCCAACTCCCAAAGTCGCTTCCCAACTAGAATATGGCAACAGACCTGTGTGCCGACAGGCCCACTAAGGTAAGGCTCGCATGGGATGGAGAGGAAGAGGCACATATTACTGTCCCTCCTCCTCGCGCAAGAACTGGAACACAGAGGAGAAATCTTTGCTGGCATAACCGCGGGCGCTCATCATCCGGTAGATCTGATGAGCTAAAGAGCCCAGTGGAACGGGGGTCTTTGTGCTGGTGGCCGTGTTCTGGGCCAGACCGAGATCCTGAAAAAGACAAGGAAACTTTGTTTGCCGTTCTCAAGAGCATTTAGTTAAGAGTTCTACAAAGAGCAATGTGGTCATCAGTCATCTTGTTTTGTTACTCAGCTACTGCAGAATCCTAAACTTCATGACCGTCCAAGCACAAAACAGTCAAATTTAAGAAATTGAGATCGACATTTCCTCAAAGGGCATTAAAAATGCTTCCCATTGATGTAGAGAATGTACTAATTTGGTGAAATGTCCTCTTAGCAACACATGCTAGCGCTTACCAGAAATAAACGAAATTGCCACCACCCATTTCCCATCAAATAATCTTTATAATCCCAAATTTTCATACACCCTAACAGAAACGTGTATAAAATACATTTTTTTAATTTCATTTTTGAACATTATTGTTATTTTGAGATATTATTCTTATAATAAATCACCATTATTTAGGAATGCATTTTGTACCTGGGAGTGCCACATGAATTTCAAACTGCGCATGCGAACTTTGTGAAGCAAGGCAGACGTGGCTTTTCAGTGTTAGTGTAGCAACAAGGATATTGTGTTTCTACCATGAGGGACTGCATTACGTTCTTTTGTGGGATGTGCGTCATGATGTAGTTTTAAAATTCAACACAGGGCTGCAGAAAAGCCGGAGATTTCTGTTGATACCAGACATAATGTGGTTTTCCTTACTTTTCAGTTTCGTTGATTTTTGGAACGTCTTTTTCATTGAGAAGCTGCAGCATCCTCTCAAGAAAACATTTATTTATTTATTTATTAAAAAGTCATTTAAGTAAGAAATTCCTTTCAATTCCAATTGGGAAGTGATCGTAACTTATTTTTCTGGTGTCTGAATCATAAATCTGAAAAATCGATCATTTTCACGTAATCGGTACTTTTTGGGCTGTGGCTCAAAACATGGCCGTGCGACTTCCGATCGATCGCTTTTGTGCCGGAGGGTCACAAATAAAGTGCAACCTAGTCAGTAGACTTCAGAATTTGACTCCTGTTTTTGGGGAATACACAGTGAAGAAAAGAGTCTGTTGGCTTTTCATATTATTAAAAAAAAAAAAAAAAAAAAAAAAAGGATGGACATTGGTCACATATGAAAATCATGTTTCACCAAGATGGAAATTGCACAAAACAAACATATTCATGTTGGTGAAACACGATTTGAATGCGTGCAACCAAAGTTCATACTTTTTTTGGTAATGGAAATCCAACAGAGGCTTTTTTTCCCCCAGCGCATACAAGTAGTTCAAAGTGTCATATATCATATTAGAGGTCATCAGAATCGCGTAACACTTCAGCATACCTCGAAAATCTCAGTTGAGCAAGTGTTAACAACTTTTGTTTCAAGGACGAGAAGTAACCACGCCCATGTTAACATGACACTGTGGAAGCAAGTGAACGGACCTTTGCCATGAGCTGGGTGCCAAAGCCTCCCTGGTAGTTATTCGCAGAAGGGACTCCCTCCATCACCCCGGGCACAGGATTGTAGGTGTCACTGGACCAGCAACGGCCTGAACTCATGTTTAGGATCTTGGCCAAGAGTTTCGGATCAAGACCAAGTCTGCAAAGGATTTGAATTCATATAATTTCCCAAACAGATTGCCCATCATAACAACTGTCAGATGATGTTACCTGATTCCTAAATTCATTGTTTCGGCTGTTCCGATCATTCCAATAGCAAGGAGCATGTTGTTACAGATTTTAGCAGCCTATATGCAATGAAAGAGAAAATGATGTTTAATAACTTGAACAAAGTCACTTAGGCTGCGTTCACACTGCTGCTCTATACTGCTTTTTTTTGCCTATATGCGATTTTTCCATTCAATGCCAACAGTACAATTCAGATTTTTTCAATTCAACCTCGGTTCTTTCGTACGTGGATATAAATGTATGCAATGTCTGCAGGATGAACTGCTTATCGTACAGATCCGACATCAAAAGCCCAATATGCGGCACAGGCAGGCGGGAGACAATCTGCAAAGTTGTTTTGAGTAATGGTGTTGTCTTTAAATTTTTACTTTCATCCCACTTGAAACATGAAGTTGACATTTGTGGTGTTAGTAATAATTCAGCCACACAGGTAATTTATTAAGCGCGGCAATAATGTGACATCATCTTTAGTAGACGTCTCCATGAAATGACAAATTCGAGGATAGTTTGCCTCATATGCCCAAAATATTTCTATCTCCTCCCGCCTCACTACTGTGGCGATATGAGATGATTCGATTGGCTGTCAACCGGTTCGGGATGTCCCCCGCCTACTGCCCCCTTAGACAGCTGGGATAGGCTCCAGCACCCTCCGCGACCCTTGTGAGGATAAAGTGGCTCGGAAAATGGATGGATGGATGGATGGAAAAAGAGTCTCCCCAGTACATACAAAACCATATTTACTTCCATAAAGACTGTGCCATAGGACGTCGTTTATCACTCGATGTCGTGCTTCGTGCGTATGGGTGTCACATCACTGACGCATTTGTTTTTGTAATAAGAATGAGAACATAAAAAGAACTAATTTCGCAAAAAAATAGCTAAATATATAACATATCTGAATTGGGCATTACGTCCTGAAGTGTGACTGTAACCTTACAAGTCTAAATAAACATCGCTTGTTTGAAGCCATGTAGTTGTGGCAAAGAAATCACAGACAGTGTTGACTGTCCCTACCTGTCCGGTTCCAACCTGACCACAGTACACCACGTTGGCTCCCATGCAGCTGAGTAGCTCTTTGGCGGCGGTAAATTCTTCCTCCGCTCCTCCCACCATAAAAGTCAGCTTTCCCAAATTGGCGGCGCCCACACCTAACAATGGAAATCATGCGACTGTCACGGTTTGTTGCTAGTTTCAAATTGTTCTGAGAGGTTGACGGATGAAAAGTGGCAGAGGCAAATCAGACCAATGTGCTCATAAAATCGCCATGTGGCCTCATATTTGTCTCACTCACTCACTGACAGATTTTGCCTCGGGAGAGCAGCAGAACAGAGATGGCCTATCTGCTACAGCAGAATGATGAATTAATTTCAATGTCACAGACATTCAGCAAAACACAAAAGCCGCATTTATTTTATCTAAAGATTTTCAAATAGCTACTAGATGGTGGAACCAAATATACTGATACATTTAAGATGACTTTTTACAATTATGGTATTGTGCATTTTAATGTAGCTGACAAGGGAAGAAATCAGTGACCCCCCCCCCCCCACACACCACCAATTTGATGAAAGGAAAGTCAAACCCTGAACTAAATGTAATACAGTAGTTAGAATGTTGCTGGCTCATATGGGGTTAAACTAGCAAGCCACAACAGTACCAGGAAATGTTGGAATAAGTCAGAGTTTACAGAAAGCGAATGGAAAGAAGCCAACATTTCCGTGAGGTCTCCTTGTTCCTATGAGCAATTTGGCACTGTAGAATTTGGTTGTAGGTGATGTAAGCCAATTAAGCATTTGCTTTGAAAATGGATTCCCAATGGAAAAGCGATGGGGTTGGTTTGATGCGATGAACCTTTGCTCAAAGTCTGAACTGCAGCTGTGAATCTATTCCAAGTTGTTCACTTGTCTC